CAGATGACATTGCAAAGAGGCCCATGTTTCCCACTGCAGAATCAATAGCGTGTAACAAAATCATTCCAAAGAACCCCATTTCAATGAACCCAGCCTCCTTGAGCTTCTTTGCAGGGGCTGTAGATCCTAGTTCAGATGCAGCACCAGGGCATTCAATTTGGGTTTGGATAGACAGAACACAAAAACCAGGGCCTTCATGTTTCTCTTGGGTCAACATCGGCTCAGAAACATCCACCTGCATGCAGGGTCCATCGTGTTTTTTCACATAAGACAAAATTAAAGGATAGGCATTGTTATATTCCAAATAATTAAATAGAATTCAATCCACATGCACTCATGTGACAGGTTTCACCATTGCCGGACTGGACTGGAGTGTGCACTGCTGCCCATGTGCCTTGTCTCCAAATGTAGACGCAGTCCCCAGATGCATCGGCGAGACATCCTCACATTCAAATAAGAAACAAGCAAAAGAAAACCTAACAGTTCCAAATTCAAACAACACTGGTTGGAGTCCTTGACTGGGTCCATCTCTGATGCGCTGCTGACCACCATCTCTGCAGTGGCAAGATCCTGTGTGCAGGCATGATTCACACTGTTAATCATATGTTTTTTTAATATAATCTCACACTGCACTCGAGCCCTCCTGACCTGAGAACGTGTCCGTTCAAGATTCTTTCTGATCACCTCGCCCACGTCAATCTCCGGTCCACCAGGTGCATCGAAGTCAGAAGCTGCAGGGCACGTCAAGAGGGCGGGCATTGCAGGTATTGACTAAATTTGCACTCATGATCGCCATATCGTCTGGGCCAGCGGCGGCTCAGCGGATCAGCGGATCAGCGGATCAGCGGACCAGCGGACCAGCGGACCAGCGGATCAGCGGATCAGCGGATCAGCGAATCAGCGGATCAGCGGATCAGCGGACCAGCGGATCAGCGGATCAGCGGATCAGCGGATCAGCGGACCAGCGGACCAGCGGATCAGCGGATCAGCGGATCAGCGGATCAGCGGATCAGCGGACCAGCGGATCAGCGGATCAGCGGACCAGCGGATCAGCGGATCAGCGGATCAGCGGACCAGCGGACCAGCGGATCAGCGGACCAGCGGATCAGTGGATCAGCGGATCAGCGCACCAGCGGATCAGCGGATCAAAGCAAAGTTCTAGAACGTACTTTTCAACCTGTCTATACCTACAAAGGCAATCTTGCTCAGTGACCTTTGCCTGCCAGGAAAAGGTGTCTCCTGCAAGCACCTTCTGTACACGTAGAATGCCTTCCGCTTTGACAAGGCCGCCGCCCCTGCTCCGGGTTTTGTGGTGTCAGTGGTGGTTTTGCAGCTTGATTTCTGACACTTGCACCACGTGACATGACCAGTGATCACGGAAAGAGTTCGCAGCTTGTGCCCCTGCTGTGCCTTTATTTTCAAACAGGAGAGAGAACCATGACCATGCGCAAACGTATCACACTAAGACAGTCCATACATTTCGCCGCAAGGCTGAGAAGAGCAACCAGAAACAAACCACGCAACTGCAGAGCCCAAGACCTTCTCTCCCGCCTGCGACTCTTCCTTTTCATGGCGCACGGGTTTAGCCAAGCTCTGATTGCTGAAGCCATACGAAATGCAGACCCGGCTGCGCAGATTTCAGATGGTTTGGTTGTGCATCTGGCAGCTGAGCTGCAACCTCTCTTCTCGACCAGAGTTGCTGCCTACGGTAGAGAAACTTGTGCCCAAGAGTTGCTCCCCTTGCCTCGGAGCTGTTCTGCGTGCAAAACCCGGCTAGCTGAATGCAGAGGTTCTGCCACGCCTGCGGCAGTGATAGACCTTTGTGGAGTCGTTGAAAAGCTGCATGTTCCACTGCGGTGTAGAAAGCCTTCATGCCCGGAGTTTGGGGTGCTTCTTTGGTACAACTACTGCGTACGCAAAGGCAAGCATGTGTTCCAGGGAGAGCTGCCACTCTTGCAATGTTTCATGCTATCCTCGAGCTTTGGTTTTAGTATCCCTTGGCTGCGCCAGTTCCACCCGCGTTTGGTGCGTCAGCACGCATCATTCACGAGTGAAGCCGACGTACTGACGGCGCAAGCTGCCACCAATTCGCAGCTGCATCGTCTCCCCACTTCACGCTTGCGGCTGCTGATCAGCCAGGGATGGTTCACCTGGCGCTTGCTGACGCGTGGGCTTGAAGCCGGCTTGGATTTGTCTGTGGTAGATTTTCAATCTCCCATGGAGGACACGGCGTGCAGGTTCTTGGGTCCATTGCAAGCAGCATTCAGCCGGAAGGCCGTGGAAGGTGCTCAGCGTGCCAAAATGCGGTGCGATGTTATTGTTTTAGATGGCAATGCAAAGAACCGGAGGGCAGTCTGCGCCGCTGCGGTGGCAGGATGTTCTTACTCTCCAACCCTCCGCAGAACTTTGCGCCACACCTGCACAAAAACGCCTGCTTTCAAGCATTGCTTTTGCTTGCACCATTGTGAAGCTCCTGGCGCAGATCGTTCTCACACAGTTCTAATTCTAGCTTCCCCATTCCCAATAGCCGTCCCTACTTTTGCCCGTTTTAGATGTAAAATCTTCAGAAAATGATGCGGGGGACCACCAACGCCTGAGAATAGCAAAGTGGACATCACTCAAGGAAATGCATGTTTTCTTCCCGTTGCAGATGATAGGTTAAATAGCAACGACAAGGAATCGAAAGATGGAAAAAACTTCCACTAACATTGAATGGGCAAAATTCTCCAAGTTCCCTTTACATCTTTACAGAAACAAAACAACGCCTCTATTCCGAAAATGCGTAGAGTTCCAGGCAGGCATTTTTCATTGCAAAAGTTCTTGAACCTATCGTGGCCCTGTAGACAGGTCTGAAAACCGTTTCAAAACGTTTCAGCATATTCAGAAGGATTCCACTTTCTAATGTGGTGAGACTGATGCCTGCGGTGAGAAAGATTCTTGGCATGAGAACGATTTCTAAGACCAGTGCGTTAGTTTTTGGACATCTTCCCGTCATTCTCAGCATGCGTGTCTATCTGCACATCCAGCCTACCTTTCCCTACCCTGTGTGGAACCCTACCGGCCCACTACGTCCAGGTTCTGTGTCGCGCGCTTTTTTTTCTCAAAAATTTGAAGGGTAGGGTTTCAGAGAGAACGTTGCGAAACACTGAAAGGTATGCTTTAAGTCGCTACCTTCCCCATTCGCATTTTTTTCCCAACCCTTCAGATTTTCGCGAAAGAAAAGTTCGCAGCAGTTGTTTCAGATTGTTTCACACACACCGACTGACATGCTGAGCACGATTCCAACAGCCAATGTGGTGAGAACGATCCCGTACACCAATGCGCTTGAGAACGATCAATGTCACGCGAACGATTCCTAACCCCAATGCGATGAGAACGATTCCAGAAACCAATGCGATGAGAACGATTCCAGAACCTCATGAGGTGAGAAACATGGCTGCTGTGAGAACGATTCCTTCGTCCAACGATACTGAGACAGATTTCGAAACGGGCAACGAAGGCACAACCCGAGGAATTTCCATGGCCAGCAAAGCCCAAACTACAGGCAATGATAGGTTAAAGAGCCCTTTTTATAGGTTTCAAATTGAATGAATTGAGTCCATCGAAAGTTTACTAAAATTTACTTACACCATACACCCCACTTGTGCAACAAAATGCCTGCGGAGCATCACAACTCATACACCTGGATCAGCAAGGGCGTGCCAGTCAAACCATCTTTTTTTTTGTTTTGCATCGATTTCAGGACCTAGAGTAGGATCATTTTGAAGCATGCGAATGTCAGAAAAGAGTGGGAGAGCCAATGCTAGAACAGTGTCTTGGCTCGAATCCTCAAACATTTTCAGTTTTGTTTGCCTTCTCCTTCCGTGGGCTACTTTTTTGAATTAAAACCCCAGGGCTTCAGCGTCGGTGCTTGGGTCTGTGCTCGCGTTTGCAGGATGTTGAGATTCTACAACACAAGTCTATCAATGATGGGCAGCAACTGATGGTTTTGCTCCAGGAAACGACCGAACCTCGCAGGGAGGCTTGGGTCTTGGATTCCGCCGTGCCAGACACTGTCTTGAGCAAGTACTTGCGGCAAGTTGGGGCGGAGAAGCTGAAACTTCGCAAGCGTACTCATGAACCCCAACCTTCAGACACTGCAGGGCCTTCTCCCGCACCGCCGCTGTTGCAGGCGCAGGTTGAACCCGTGGCAGAGCTTGAGCAATGTTCAGATCCAGCGGATTTAGCGTCTGTTGCATGTTCAACGCACAAGGAAAGCAGTACTGCCCAGAGGCAACTTGCCAAGTCAGCGGGCATGCTTTGCGTATGCTTGTCCGAGGGCCTTATTTTGCACATGCAAGAGATTTATGGCTGCGAGTCTCTGAGCCAGCGCTACTTCTGCGTCGCTGCTGTCAAAGCTTTGCTGCCGACCCTGACGACAGTGGTGCACGATGATGCGTGCCACTTGCACAAGTATTGCGCGCGTCGAGCAGCGCACTCTCAAGCTGCGGCGCAGTTGTCGCCACCTCACATGACCTTTGTCTGCGACAAGTTCCACATGGCAGGCCACACGGATGCTTGGTGCAAGCAAACATGTGACCCGGAGCTCCCGTCCAACTCCGCTCTTCTCGCTGGTGTCAGGACTTCAGTTTGCGAGTTCACCTTCACATGGCTCAGCAAATACAAGCACCAAACCAAGCACATGAACGAATACGGTTTTCAGTTCTTCTTGCTCGACATGGCGTGGAGCCACAATGAAATCATTTTGCAGGGAGGCTACAGGCCGGAGGAGGTAGCTGGCTCTTTGGATGCTGAGGATGTTGCGTAGCAAGCCAAAAATGTTCGGACGCTTAGGGTTTGAAGTTTGGGAGCGCCATAGGTACGTAGCTCTTTTTTCGAACGGGCTGTGGTGCTTGTAACATGTGACCATCTTTTGCTAGATCAGGTTGATTTTAGAATCGTGGTGCGGCTTTAGGTAGCCCGGTTCAAATTTGGTAGTTCGCAGCTTCTCGTGCGGAGCCATGTCCGGGGCTCCTGACGATGGGCAGTACGTGCCCGCCATGAAGCTGATGTGGGATGAGGTGGACAGACGTTTTGACCCCAAGTATGTCCTTGGAGAAGCCGGCCACCAGTTTTGCCAAAGCTATTCTGTCAGAGCTGCGCATCCTGAATTTCCTTACGCTTTGCATTGTCTTTCTTTGATGTGTGCTTTGGCGAATGGCGCGCGGGTCGCCATCTTTGCCACAGCACCGTCGCCTCTGACTTTGGTAGCGGTCAATGTCAACTATGCCCAGACCAGAAAGTCTTCCATGACTGGACACGCAGAGGCTTTGGGGCAAGAGTTGGACACAGTCATCTTGGAGAATGCGATGTCCAAGCTGCAGCAGGAAAGCTTTGAGGAGGGAGCGGCTCAAGTCCTGAGGCGGGGCTTTTCAAAGTCCAATTGCCCCCCGCTGACCATGCGTGAACAGTTTGCTAACCTTGTGTTAAATTTTCACGTGTTTCTAAATCTTTGCCAGGAACCAAAAGACACAAGTGACCCCGCTGCTGCAGGTATTTGAAGCCAAGAATCGCTTCTGCGACTGTTGCCAGCGCCACACCGGAAGAATGGTTTCACCGTTGCTCTGCTGACTGGAACCAAGTCCGCAACGCAGACAAGCTGCCAGGAGATTGGTCTGGGCGTTGCTGGTACGGCTTGCTAGGCAACTTTGATGAAGCCTACGACTTCTTGCTGAGCCTTGGCCTGTTGTCCGACTCAAATGCAACAACGAGAGAGAAATCAAAAAGCAAAGTCAACCCGTACCAGAGCGCGTTCAACAAGCTCTTGCAATTTGGGTCTAGTGCTCGTGCCACCAAGACGGCAGGGAGCTACGGTGAGAACCCTGGTAAAACCATAAGCTTGGGCATCACTTGCAACATGCACCCGGCCTTCTACATCCCAATGGAGCGGGGCGAGCTTGGAAGCCACGCAGCCTCCACCAAGGAAAGGTTCCTCATCTCCACTGGCCGCCCTGTTCAACCACATGAGGACATCCCCGCAGACTTTTGCTTGCCGGAAGGACGGGGTCGATTCTTGCACTGTTACATGCTGGATATAGCGCTCACTTCTCGGTATTAAGGCATGTAAAGCACAAACACTGTCATGAATTCAAGTTCTGAGCCTGTCAGTCTTTGTGGATTTTCTGAGTTGAGACGCGTGCAGGAGTCTCGCCATACAGGTGGGTCCCCCTCACTCCTGAGATTGCAGACCTCATTGGGGTTGCTAAAGAAGCAACATCGCCAGACGCAGCTGCCCAAGAATGGGCAGAAGCTAGGCTTGAAGACGAAGCCGCGGCCCAACTCACCCAAAATGCTGCCGGTGAGTATGTGCCGTCGGAAGACGGCTACCTTTGTCAGGCTCTTAGATGACAAGCTGACCCGCATCCGCTTCAGGCGATCAGAGGCAGCCCCAAACGGCTTTGAAGCAGAGTGGAGGGTAGCGAACCGAAACTTTGCAATCCCGGAGGTGTGCCGTTTGAGAAATTGCGTTGCTAGGGTGGCCACCTATTTCGCAGCGCCACACCAAGTTTATGACTTTGACTTCGGAGGCTGAGTCATGGCATCTGTCTTACCAGGGAGCAATGAATGTCCAAAGCCACGTGGTTCGTGATACTGGAGACATCCAAGCGCTTCGGGGCGGCGCCTTGGCAAGTAGGGGTTTTAGCTGCTTTGCTCCTGGTCTTCGAAATCTTTGTCGGCGCCCACTCCCCTGCAGCGCTGGAGGGGCGAGCTTTGCAGGTTACACCCGGGCACTTGCAGCGGGCGTACGCCTTGCTTCAATTGGCTCCTTGGCCGCGTTATTTTGAGTGTTCTGAACGTCACCTTGTTCCCCATCCAGCCTGACGTATTGTCGCAGACCAGGTGCAGCGTCTGAAGCACATTGCCCTTGGAGATGCAGCAGCCAGCCCAGACCTACCGCCGCCGCAGGAAGACGTCCGTGCGGATGATTTGGGCGCCTTGCGCATCCCCTATATGTGCCTGAAGACTTTGCTTCGACCCAAGCTGGCGCAGGTATTCCAGAGGTGGGCGATGACGAAGAAGGTGACGAGGCTGCAGAGGAGTCGCCGGAGGAACATGTGCCAGAACTGCCAGCACCAGTGGGCAATCCAGGACTGCCGGAGCCAGAACCTTGCGCAGCCGTGAAACCTTTGACCCTGCAGGATGTTCGAGCCAGTGATTTTGGGTTTGGAGACAATGGTGTCACTGTCCAGCCTGACGGCTTGCATAGCCGGAATTTCACCGATAGAACTGTTTTGAAGCAGACCCTTCTTGCGGGCAAACCGAAGATCACTAGGAAAGAGGATTGTGACAAGATGCGCTCTGAACGAGGGCAAGGACGCAAAGCGCTTCCCAAAGAAAAATGGGTTGCTGTCATGAGGGCTGCAGCTTCCCAATTTCCCGACTTGCTCCGCCTTGACGGAGAGATTTTGTGTTTGAAAATGATTCCCGACACTGCAGCAGGCAAGGTCGCGTACGCGTACCACAACGACCTCATGAGAGCTTGCCGTCTAAGCCTGCGGGAGTTGATTGCTGCTATGGACAAAGCAGCTGAGAAGAAGGAAGAGCGCCGTGCAAAGCGAGCCAGGGTGGATGACTGAGGCAAGCTGCTTGGGCGCATTGATCCCGTGTAGGATGGTGCCAGCTGCCAACAGAAGTCGGGTTTAAAAGAGCGGCTGCCTGCAGCTGACAACTGGCCCCTGTTCTGTTGTCATCCATCTTCACAAGACAGGTTGAGACCCAGCCCTTTCAGATTTTCCATGCAATGCATCTTCCCTGCCTGCTTTGTCTAGGCATTTCTTCGCCATCCAGCCCTCCTTCTTCTTGTGCATCTTGGTGGCAAAAGACTTGGGCGGAAAGCCTTGCAGGAAGGGTTGGCCAAGAAGGGCGCCCACAATCGCTCGTGCTGCATACTTCCTGCTTCATGCTTTTGGCTTGACTACTAGCCTGTAACCTGATATTATCTAAGGTGCGAGACTTGCGCAAGGACAACGGGGGAACCGACTTACGACTTGTGGTTGGGATCTCCCATTTCAGGGGCCATGGTCGATAGCAATGGGAAAACGTGGTTGAAGCTGCGGATTGTTTTGATGACAAGCGGCCTCAGTGCGCTGTTAAGTCTCGATCAGCGGGTCAGCTGAACAGCACAGGGGAGCGGATCAGCTGATCAGCGGATCAGCGGACCAGCGGACCAGCGGATCAGCGGATCAGCGGACCAGCGGATCAGCGGATCAGCGGACCAGCGGACCAGCGGATCAGCGGATCAGCGGACCAGCGGACCAGCGGACCAGCGGACCAGCGGACCAGCGGATCAGCGGACCAGCGGACCAGCGGATCAGCGGATCAGCGGACCAGCGGACCAGCGGATCAGCGGACCAGCGGACCAGCGGATCAGCTGATCAGCGGACCAGCGGACCAGCGGACCAGCGGATCAGCGGACCAGCGGACCAGCGGATCAGCGGACCAGCGGACCAGCGGATCAGACAGCCCCACGATCATAAGTCTAAATTTGGAGGGAAAAAAAAGCTTGCCGTGGATGCTGGGAATGTTGGAAATATAAGTATATCTAACCAGGCCTTCTTGGACAGCACGTCGGATGCATTGCTTGAGCATCATGATCTGGGCACACCTGGGTGGAAAGGAAATATTCATGCCTTCTAGATATTCATCATTTAAGATATAATATATATATATATATGTAATTATATAAATATATTTACTGACATTGAAAGTGAACCCACCCAACACCCAAGTGGCACCTCGAACCCTGAGACCTATTGGTCAAGTCAAGGGCGTGCATCGTCATCTGACGTGCATGTCCAGCTTGGACAGCGGCCCAATCCTGCCACACACAGGGACAGAATTCATACAACATATTCTCTGCAGGCAGTAAACTCCTCCCACCTTGATCGTCTTCTTCAGGGTTTTCTGCGGGAAGATGCCATATCGATCGGCCAGCAGTTTGAACGCCGCCTGAACACAGGAACATAAGTAGGATTGTAACAGGTACCATGCATACATCACCTGGCCTTCCACACACCATGTGGTGCAATCATTGGTTCAGGGGCCAAGGTCGCGCACATCTCCATCAGAAACTCTTGATTCGACTCAAGAGCTTGGACACTGGCTGGATCAGCTGAATCCAACCCTTTGAAGAAGGCGTGCTGCCTATCATCCCTCAACTCAGCCAGGAAGCTGCCACGAAGAGCAAAGGTTTCGACGACATCCTGCAAATAGTAATGAATCATATTGAATCATTACATGCAGATTGTGTTCAAAAAAAGCAGCTTGTCCTGGATCATGGCATGTTGCACATCCATGGCCTTAGATTACTGGATCAACATCGTTATCAGTCAACATTTACACACTATTCATCAACATTCAAAAGAAAACAAGGACCAGACGGTGGCACCCAAGGTCTTGTCAAAACCCGTACAGCCACCCGGAGCAAAATGCTGCAATGAAAATGCAAAACAATCAGCAACCAAGCACTGCCAAGAAAGGAACCACGTTACAACTCGACATCAGGCAGCACAAACATGCACTTCATCACTGCAAGGCCAGGGTGGAGCACCTCTATCCCTTGAAGATGTTGATGCCACTGTTGAAGATTGCCCCCATGAACCTGTAGCAGCAGCCAAATAACTAAGCAGAACTCAAGGCTCCAAGGCACAAGTCATACTAAGTGGCGCACGCTTGGCATTTGCACGCCGCATCAGGGGGAGCCACTTGAAGAAAACAGGCTGCAGGGCTGCAGGTATCCGATAAACCCTTCCGATAGATTCCGATAGATTCCGATAAACCCAATGTCCTCTTCTCAAACCTACATTCCAATGTCCTCTTCTCAAGGGTACATTTCAATGTCCTCTTCTATATTCAAGGCATGGAGTGTCAGGGATATATATAATATTAGAGTTATTACCTCCATATTTCCTAAAATAAAGGCACCCCCAACTATCATCCATTCATGGATGGATTTTCCATGAAAGAAAGCATCTGTTTTTGGGGTACCCCCATGACTTCGGAAACCACCAACCGTTGTCACATCTTCGGTTACCTTCCGAACACCGTTGTACCGTTGTCACCTGACCCCGTGACTATCCGTGACTATCCGTGACCTCAACTCGGTAGGCTTGATCTCCCACCTGCTGGGATGGAAGAAATCCCATGTTCTAATTATTTACAGGATGGGATAATCATGGATAATCCTATAACCAGTAATCGAATGGGATAATCCTAGCTAAAATGCCACCAGTATTTCAAGCTGCTTTGATCCAAAGCCATGTTCGCAATCCTAGTTTCTTTTGGTTTGTCGTGGTAAATGATATTCATGCCCCTCCCAAGATGGCATTGGAGGCTTTAACCCCTAAACAAACAAGGAGCAAAAATGGGGATTTGAGGAAGAAAGATCGGCCAATAAATGGGTCGATAAATGTTGCTGTATGCTACAGTAGATTTGATTTAGTTGTGCCCTTGAACTATGTCTTGGACTGCGAGGTGGCAAACTGCTTGGTTGTTGGGTGCAAAACATATGTACGCTACAGGATCAATCTCTGAATTCATCTGACTATTGTGTAATTTAGGCTTAAATACGATGCAGCTCAGTACGAGGATATGTTCTACAAGAATCAAGTTGCAAGAACGGGTACTTCAATGGGAATATGACAAGAAAGACCATGGGAATCCAGCCGCCAAGCAACTGAACCATCCACACTGACTTCTTCATGCCATCCACAATCATTGGACAAGAGAAATCTTATCTGCAGAGAAACTCAATAACTTAGTACTAGTATATTCCCAAAAAACACAGGGAAGCTTGGTTTCCTCAAGTTTGAACCCCACCAACGAAAAGTGGAAAACTACATGATACAACATAGTTTTCCCGCTTCCCCCCCATGGACCTCCATACTAAACCCAGTGGAAGGGGACTGTGTGAATGTACCCTCTGGTAATTTAACATAGCCATGGAATAGATGACCCATTTATAGATGGTTTACCTATTAAAAATGGTGATTTTCCATGGCTATGTTAGTCCATTCTGTGATTCTTCTTGTAATTGAGGTAAATTACCTCAACCACATTCAGAATTGCGAGTTCCACCATATAATTCTGGTGTTTTACCCATGTTTTACCCATTTTTGATGGCTCAATTGGTCAAATTTATCACCTCTCGCTCATCGGACTCTTTGGCCCGATGCATCCCAGACCGGCGGTGGCTGTCAAACGGACAGCAACGCCCCGGAATTCGAGCAACCCCAAAGAATCCCCCAGTGCCAAGCGATGGTCAAGTCTCGTGATTTCTGAGATTTCCCAAACACTGGCCGATTTGACATGGAACTAATTCACACTGGGGTGAAAACTCCAGCTTTTTGGCTGCTACTCATCATCGTGCCATTTCCACGAGTCATGGAGCGTTGGGTTCACTTTCGCGTCAGGATTGGTGTGTTGCTCATAGTCCCAGTGAAACCTGGGCCAAACATAAAATGAGAAATGGAGAATGCCCAAAATCAATAGACACTCTGTCAGGCACAGCATGTATATATAATAGTATGTATATAAAATAAAATATAATGCATGTCATATGATGTATATTATACAATAATATATTTATATAGTATATATATATATAAATATTATGCATATTATATTATATATAATGTGTATATTATATGTATGTATAGTGAGAAACATACCTGCATGGCAGCTCTAGTTCCACTAGAGCTGCCATGGCCTCATTCATAGCGAAAACACCCAGAATGATGACATCCAGGATGTTGAAGTGGAACAAATATCAACTGGTTGGTGGTTGACCTACCATCTTGAAAAATAGCTGAGTTCGCTGTGGAAAAGAACCTGTTTTGATAGGTAAAAAATAACTGCTTGGTGGTTTCAACCTACCCATCTTGAAAAATGATGGAGTTCGTCAATGGACAAGATTATCCCATATATCAACTGGTTGGTGGTTGACCTACCCCTCTGAAAAATATGAGTTCGTCAGTTGGGATGATGACATTCCCAATACATGGAAAATTAAAATTCATGTTCCAAACCACCAACCAGATAACAACAACAAGACAAAACCGAGTCCAGTAACGGCAGACCTCCCTTTGTTTGGCGATTTCGGTACTTCTCAAACCATCTATATATTCTGGAAGTCACCACCAAGAAAAAACAAGTGGTTTCAAAATTGGAACCATATTTTTTGAATCAGAACCAAAGTCCCGCACCTGGCCCGCTTATTCTTGCACCAGAGACCTTGTCCCAGTCACGCAATCAGCGTGAACAATATTGCTGTTCAATAAGTGAAGCTTGCTCAAAACCGTGGCCAAATTAAACCTGCTGAAACCGCCGTTCTCATGTGAGCCATGTTCACCCCATCCGATTGTCCACCTTGGTAGCCAATGATCATTATCTGAATCTCGGCTAACTTCCACTAAACCAACACAGCTATGGAACATGGCCCAATGTGTACATGTTTCACCTCTTCAGAATGGAGATGTTCCATGGCTATGTGAGATTATGTGAGATTACCAGATGGATCCGGATAGGTATCTCCCCCAGGAACCAAGGAACTTCGTGGGAGACAGCAAGGACAGGTTCAAATAGCTCCCAATGCTGTGTTGCTCGGGTTTCAACCTTAGAAAAGCGAGCATAATTTTCGATCCAAGGTGTGTCTGGTGCTGGTTACTGCTTGGAAATTATCCACCCCAAGTCCCAAGTTAAGATTCACAAAAATGATTCTCCAGTCCTGTTCGGATCTCATCTATTTCATAGCAATTTGATGTCCTTTTGGTAAGAATTTACCGGGGCCGGGAGCTGGTTAATCCCATCTATCATCATGGAAACCTGTTGTTTTTTCGGTAAACAAACTCAAACCCCTCTTTTTTCATCAACCAACCAATGGGAAAAAAACATACCTATGCCCCAGATCGTCCAAGTCGTTGACCTAGGAATTCGATGGAAAACGCTTCCAGCGCCACTTGGATTCAGATCCATTGTGAAAAAGTGATCAACAGCCATGGCGAAAACTGAGTACAAACACAACGGATGCCCTGCAGAAAATCCATCTTGAGCTGGATATGATTGTCACATAGAACTTATAAATCTTATAATTATCCCATATTATTCCATATTATTCCCAATTCAGAGCTTCACATTTGAAGCAAAACTGTTTGGTGTACTGAAAACAGTACCAATCCACCAGTACTATATCCAGCTATGAGACATCTTTTAGGTGCGAAAAAATATCAGGAAACCAACAACAACTGGGAGGGTTATCCAGATGTGAAGGTGTTTTATCTGGATAAGCCTGGATAATGCCATAAAAAGGCCCCTGACCTGATTTTGAGCAAAATTGGCTAACCAAGTTTGATCACATCTAAACATATCTAAACTATATTTTTTCAGCATCATTCACCCATCAATCCACCCTGAAACCCATCCACTGCCGAGACGCCCGCGGAACTCAATGAGAGTGTCGTAGTATGCTTTCTGGATGAGAATAAACACCGGTGCCAACCTCGTCGAAACTTGTCGATTTTGGAGATGAATTGATCCCCCAATTTTGTTGGTGAAATTTGTATTGAAAACATCTCAGAACATGCCCAAACTATCTCAAACTTAGTTTGGTGGTGATAGTTCATGACCGAAATCGGATAAATATAATCTCGCAATGGTTACTTGGATATGCATCCCAGGAATGGTATGTACCATTTCGTATTGAGGGTCAAAGGTCAAAGGTACCAGTGGAATCAGCTATGGTACACGCGTAGTAGCCAAACTGTCATGAACTTGTTTCAAACCGTTCCCTGCTCCGGAAGTCACTGCCCACTACTCATTTGGGATAATAATGTGGGATCCAATCTATGTACCCTCCTGGAATCAAACATAGAAAGCTGGGAAATACCCCATGTATAAACGATCTTCCATTGCCATCTTTGGTTCCCAGAGGTACCATCTGGTTATTTAACATGTTTAATAGGTAAACCATCTATAATGGTCCATTTCCCATGGCTATGTTGAATAACCAGAGGGTAAATGATCATTATTTCTCTTGTGTTCCATACCAGCACTGCCATGGCAGAACTGCCATGCGGGTGGCGCACAAGAAGGCTCCGAAGAGGGTGGCGTTCACTTGCCTCGGAGTCAGATCCTTTCGCTGAAGAAACTTGCTCCGTCCTCGGTCAACGGTGACCGGTCACAAAGATGTTGGATGAAAATCCGATGAAATAGATAGATACTAATGAATATTAATTATATAGATGTTTCTATAAGTTTCTATGATTCACAAAGATGATTCTCCAGTCCTGTTTGGTAAGGTCTCATCTACCCTCTGGTTATGACTAACAATAGCCATGGTATAGATGGCCCATAGAAATAGATGGTTTACCTATTAATAGCATGGTGGTTTTCCATGGCGAACTGTATGGTATCCCACTATTATCCCACTATTAATCACTATTAACCACTATTAACCACTATTAACCACTATTAATATCCCATTTTGACCAGGTCCACACCCTGGTGCCGGCATTCCGGGACAATCAAGGTGCTCACGAAGACCAGCAAGGAACCAATGGTAATGGTCTCCAGAACCCCAACGATGGCGAATTTCTCGGCCAAACTGTAGCCTGGGGACAGATTATGGGGGAAATCTGGTGAAGTCCAGAGCTAAAAATCAGGAATTTTCCAAAAATTAAGATTCCTGGAAAATGGGAGGAGATTGGAAAATTCTGATTTTTAGTTCCAAAAATTGATCCATCCAAAAATCAGGACTATGGGGAGATTGGATGGAGGTGAAATCAAGACTGAAATCAGCGCCCTTTTCCAAAAAGATAGCACCCCAAAAGAGGCCATGATTCACCGGGGTTGAAGCAACCCTGTGAAAGATGGATAAAAATGGAACCGAAATAGACCCAAAAAAAATGAGGTAATCCAAGACCTGAGATATTTTTAGACTAATTGATCAGCGCTTCTTAATAATCTTGTCAACCAATAAATTGACATAAATCAACCATCTATTATTTTGGGTGGTAATTCTTGGGAGTTGTAGGGGGTGTGATTGAATTTCTATGTGTTTTCAGCACTGAAGCATCCATGTTGGATGTTGGGGGGCCACCCATTTCATCCATACCCAAACGGTGCCACAAGAGATACATCTTATGCTTGCAATGGGATGGAAGCGGACACAGAGGGTGCCCTTGTAACATGGCTATTCCACCCACTCCAAATACAAAGTGGGCGCGATAGCTAAGTTGGCTTATAACTAACTTAAATATGATTCATGGTAGGTATAAGTATAACAATACAGTACATAGTCACTAGGTTTTACCATTAAACAACTATTAAACCACTATTAAACCACCATTAAACCACTATGAACCACTATTAACCACTATTAAACCACTATTAAATCCCATTAAATCACCTAAACCGACAAACATCACTGGGCCCACCTTGTGCCCAACCAATGGAGCTGGATGGAGCCGGAAAACCCAATAGATGTTCCCTCAAAAAACGGCCAATCTAGGGCATATGCAATTTACAGACAAACCCCAAAATCATCAATATATATATATTATGTAATATATAAAATAAATGTTATATATATATATTGCACTTTATATGGTTGTGAGGTTTAAAAAAAACCGTTCGATGTCCGCTGCCGCTGTGGAACTCAATGGCTCTGTCGTGGTGGGCTTTTTGGGCGTGCCATCATCGTCCTCGGCAACCACAGGCCGATCCATGGATCTACCAGGGATCGCGGAAAACCATACAGGATGGGGCCCCCAAGATAGCGTTCAGTTGCCTTATTTTTGTGGCTGAATTCTGTGGTTTATGGTAGATATAACTATAGTACTCATGGGAAAAAAATAAAAATGTTCCAAACCACCAACCAGAATTAGGTTGTAAGCTTTCCAGAGTAAGAAGACCAACGAAAATTGTTGATGCTTGGAGACCGTGAGACAGCAACCTCCAAAGGAAGAATCGGTGGAATGAGGTGCTTCAACATCTTCAGGCCAACTCATGAAACTGAGGATGTGCATTATCTCTTAATTGATCGACAAGTGGGATGAAAATGGGTTACACGGTAAACTTGAATAATTCTGTGTCATTGGGAAAATGATGATCTAACCTGAGGTCCCGGTCGTGTAGCATTCCCCATCCGAGTCAGTCTGTCCAAAAGTTTTTTGAAAAAACGTGATGCCCCATGATATAGCAATTTCATGGAGAAACATGATGAGAAAGTCCGAAGTCTTCAAAGCAAACAACTCCATTTTGCAGGGTGCTTCTGTACGTCTTTTTTGTTTCCAACCCTTCCTGACCAAGAGCGCATATTTTCGCATGTGTTTTATTCTCTCTGCGCTGTTTTGGTTTATGACACCACGATCGTAATCTCACCGTGGTGTGCGCATTGATCAAAAAGCTGGACGTCCGCGGTTGACCTGGGTCGGCGACAAGTTTCTGTAGTTGAAACGACCTCTTTGGGTTAAAAAAAATGGAGTAAACCCAACCAAAATAGGAATTTAAATAATGAAAACCAATGATAAACCACTGGATTTTGAAGTATCCAACGTTCAAACGATCTCATTTTTGAAGTTAAATAAATAAATAAAAAAGTAAATTACAATAAATGAGAAATTTCCATGTCTGATTTAGCTAATGCCTTATTGAGTGGGATGATTGTTGAGTTAGACAAGTTCGAGGCTAAAAGCTGATGCAACAGATGGACCACTGACTAGGCCAGCAAATCATCAGTCACGGATTCATGAAAGGACAACATGTTATCAATGGTCATTTCAGGAACCTAAATTGGAGGTACCTACCATATATAAGGCCTATTTTTTCAGGCCTAAATTTCAGGGAATATCCCCAGAAAATATGGCCTTATATGGTACTAACGTACCTCCATTTTAGGATCCTGAAATTCCCATTGACAACATTTTTGAAACTTGAAACGTGTTAAAACTACCAACCAGATTTGGACCTGTATTGTTTCGCCAAGTTTGCTCGAAAAAAATATTTGGAGATATTCCCATGCCAAAATATATCCCATACGCCACAACCAAAGACTTCAAGCAATGGTAGAACTATATATATAATATCCGAAAAGAGAAAAAAAACATAATATATATATATATATATACACATTTGTTTACATAGATAAAACACCTCAACTCAAGACCTTCAATACCTTGTGCTGTCAAGTGATGTTCTTTGATCCCTGGTCGAGGCGCTCAGTTCAGCCACTTGTTCTCCACGAGTTTTCGGGCCTGGCTCACGACCAAACCGAACAAAAACACGGCGAAGGTGAGGCAAATGGCTGTGGCGTTCAAGACTTTGCCTCGGGAAGGATTGAAGGCAAGGGTTAACAATGGTTAATAGATGTTAATAGGCTACTAGTGGTTAATGGATCTATGATTATTTCTGGGTTTATAATGGGTTAATAATGGGTTAAGAATGGCTTAATAGCATAGTGCTTGATGGATTTATGGCTTAAGAATGGCTGAAGAATTGAATTTCCTTTCATGTGAAACATTCACCTCGGGTCATCCTGGGAAATTCCCATGGATTTCGCCATGGTTTTTTTCTGGTTGGTGGTTGAGCCTACCCCTCCGCAAAATGATGGAGTGAAAGTCAGTTGGGGTTATGACATTCTCAACTGAATGGAAAGTCATAAAAGTCATGTTCCAAACCACCAACCAGTTTTTTTTTGTGAAGGTTTGGAACTTGACTTTTTCAACTTCAGGGAACCATGGTGAAATAATCCCCATAAGTTGGGAGATTAACCCCATAGTTATAGGTTATCCAGAAAACTTATGGGATGAAAAAAATGCCATAGTTACAAGGTTATGCCAACTTATTATGGCATAATATAGTTGGGATATAAGTTAACCCATAAGTTGGGATATATATCCACTTATAGTTATATATCCACTTAAAACTGGAACTGCATTTCCAAGTCGTGGTGACTTCCCGAAAATTACCCTAGGCACCTACAAGGATTCCCATACCCCATGGCAACATCGGGGGGGTTCTTCAAACGGGGAACGCCAAAATCAAACCATATGATTCTATTAGCTAGTTGGTGTTTGTAAAATATATACATACGCATTATAATTACCGTTCTTATTTGATATGTTTATAATTGTCCCATCAATCAGCAACAACAACAACAACAAAAACATCCCATGACTTTGTCTCCAGCCAGTGACGGTTGTAGTATGACTATATAATATTGGATAATGATATAGATAGTACAATGATACAATAGTAGAACATATGATAAATCCATTATATATCAGAAAATAAAAGTGGTAAACCCAATCATGACCATCCCCGATAGAGGTTAGTATGGTTAATCGGGCCCCGTTTGCACTGGGATAATGTTTATTTATCATAACCAGCCATGGTTGGTGGATCGGGGATGGTGACAACTTTGCATTGGGTTTATCAATAGTTTTATATCTTAACTATCTTAACTATAATCATCCCAATAACCATCATCATTCATCATAAGTCTTTCACCAACTATACCCTCTTTGGGATTATCAGAACCAGCCATGGCAGTGTCTCCCTGGCATCACACAGTGACGGTTGTAGTACTATAATTATAATCTTATAGTACAACATGGTACAAGAATATCATAGTAGAATGAGGTACATATGTACAATGAACATATTATAGTACAATAAAATATATCATAAATCCAATGGGACAGTGTCTCCTATGGTCCTCCTATTGCATCACCCAGTGACGGTTTATCAATATATATATATAATATATATTTATATATCACTATCTTAAAAATAATCATCGCCACTAACCATCATCAATTCATCAGAAATCTGCCAGTAACGGTTGTCGTATTACTTATAATGATAAAGTACAATATAGTAATATAGTATACAATCGTACAATGGTAATTACAATATTATACAATATAGTATATCATAGATACAATGGTCTACTACAATGATATATGATACACTATTAATAATGCCAATACTGTAATCTACAATATAGTACAATATTAATATATATATATACATATATTTATATTTATATATAGTACAATACTATAATTCAATGATATATATGATACAATAGTAGACCTCATAAATCCAATGGCTTCTCCTATGGTCACCCAGTGACGGTTGTAGTACTCCGTGGAGTCCGGGTCGATGTTCTGCCCCGGTTCGCTGCCCTCGCCCCACGTGGCCAGCGCCGCTTGGGCGTTGGTCATCGCGAGGCCTGTGGAGACCAGGGCCACCTGCGGGGGAGGTCAAGGCCAAAAACAGGGCAAAACTTGGGGGAAAATGGTAGGAAAATGGTGGGAAGGGAAAAATAGTAGAACATGCTGGAAAAATGGTGGAAAACTGAGCAAGATCGTGGAAAACTGAGCAAGATCGTGGAAAACTGAGCAAGATCGAAGAAGACCCGGTGAACAAATGGTGAAAACTTAAAAATCTGAGGAAACACAGAAGACTTGGAACAACAATTGGGAAAACCTTTGGTAAATCCATAGCTTTGACATGTTGCAGCACATCTTTGTTGATGCAATCCCAATTTCTGTCAATCATATCAAGGGTCATAAGTAAGAACAACTATACATAACTATACTATATAGATCTATATATAGTCTTATATAGTATATCACCCTCCGCCCCAAAAAAATGCGTACAATCATGTACAATCCAACTATTCAATAATGATACCCTCTGGTAAACTAACATAACTATACATAACTATGGAAAATCACCATTTTTAATGGGAAAACTCACTATTTCTATGGCATTCTATGGCCATTTTCAATAGCAAACTGTTAAATTACCAGAGGGTAGATCGATATAAATCGAAGTTCTTCAGCATCATGTTGGGGTTGACCAACCAGCCGCACCTCTGCCTGTCGCATCTGCGGCTGCACACGTGGCACGTTGCTTGGGGATGGCACAAAGGTCGTGAGCTGACGGAGGGCCAGCACCAACAAAGCCACGGGCAAAATGCGCTTGGACATCATCCTGGTGACCAACTCATGGAAAAATGCTGGGGAAATGCTGGGGAACGATGGTTTTTCATTGTGATCCTGGTGACCCTATGGTGAAAACGATGGTAGAACCATAGGGAATGGTGCAAAAACCATATGGAAACCATAGGGAAAAGTTGAAAACAAAATAGGAAAAACATAGCAAAGCCTCTGAAAAATGATAGGAACACCATAGAAAAACCATAAGAAAGCCATAGGACAACCTCGGGAACACCTGAGGAAAACCTCAGGAAACCACATAGGAAAACCGACCCTCCTCGCTGAATTATCTTAGTTCGTAATTGCGAAGATCTGCAACTGGGGTGACCCCTCATGTGGCAGCCTCCTTTTTTGGACCGTAGCCCATCATTGCAGATGTTGGGGCATTTTTGTTATCCACCTGAGGTCGTGCACTGGCTAAACAATAGGGTTGTCCACATGGTTTCCTCCACATGGTTTCCTCAATAGGGTTTTCTTCAGGTTTTCCCGAGGTTGTCCTATGGCTTTCTTATGGCTTTTCTATGGTGTTCCTATCATTTTTCAGAGGCTTTGCTATGTTTTTCCTATTTTGTTTTCAACTTTTCCCTATGGTTTCCATATGGTTTTTGCACCATTCCCTATGGTTCTACCATCGTTTTCACCATAGGGTCACCAGGATGTTCTCCAAAAAAGTAGACTAGCGATTGGAGAAACCCTTTAAATCCCTCGGAACACCACTGCAGAACAAGAGATAGTCGCACAATTCCATTTAATCATGATTCCTTGGATACTTTTTGTCCAGTGAAAAAGTCAACAACTTTGGAAACACAGCATCACTAATATGCGGGTTCCCAGCGTTTTTCCCTGAAACATAAACATCACCGCTATTTTTGTTGAACAACAATGAGCCTCAACCATTTCAGCCCTCGCAAAACCGGCCACCAAAAAAACAGTTAAACAGGTCATTCTTTTGACGCGGGAAATTTGCCTCGCCGTGCGCTACCGTGGACGTCTATAAAAGTCACTGGAGCCAAGATGATGGGAGGCGGTTAAGGGTGAATGGCTGCACGTGATCATACGTGGGTTACAACCCTAATTCTGTCCTCTATATGTACCCTCTGGTTATTTCACATAGCCATGGAAAATCACCATGCTATTAATAGGTAAACCATCTATAAATGGGCCATTTCCCATGGCTATGTTAGTCATAACCAGAGGGTATATGTAATATAGGCATCAATCGTCCCAAACTCCAATCATATGGGTATGGCTCAAAAGCAGGCTATGAACGGACCTACGATAGAAACAGCCCGTTTTAACGGATCCGAAAAGATTGAGCCCTCCCTCTATAGCATTTCTCAAGGGGCACCACCTGAACACCTAAGTGTTCAACGTGGGGCATCTGAAGAGATTTTTCGTCGGCCATGGCAAACCTCCAGCAGGTGTGAAAATAATTTAACTCTATTCTTATGTACATAGATATTGTATATTATATATATATATATACAAAATTAAAGAAATATGTATAATTGGTGTTAATCACTGCTATCATACAGTTGGGAAACTCTTTAGTAGGTCCTTGGCTCACCCTTGGGGAACATACCGCTTTGGCACCTCCAACCAGAGTTACCCATTGTAAACCCTTAGGTCAAATTACACTTATCGCGGGGTTTACAAAGGGTTTATGATAATAAATAACACTATAGTCACTATAGGCTTCATTGGTTTACAATGGGTTTACAATGGCTTTAATAAGTTACTATAGTTAATTAACCCAAATGAACCAACTTAGATCAACCGACCTGGCTTGATAAAGCTTCTCCTTTGACCCGTGAAACACCCGTGAAACACCCAGTGCCGCAGCCCGGTCCAAGGCGCCCAATCATCAATCCATGGATGGACTCGTCCCATGGCCGGACCCAAGGAGCTCGCGGAGCTCGCGGAGGTCGCGTTGTGACGGCATCCACGGCGCTGAAAAAGGCTGATGTGGCAACATCTGGGTCTGAAAAAAATGGCGAGAATGGCGGCACCAATAATATGATATTATATTTATATAATACAAATATATATATATATACACATAGATATACATATACCTATATATATATATATATGAGTTGATCATCAATTAATACCACTCTGCTGGGCCTCCACAAGTTGTTCCCCCAGCGTCAGGGCCGAGCGTGACGCCGCGTATCCCCTCAGGCGGAGAGGGGTCCCCCAGTGGAGGTCTCTCATCCAACGGTGTTTCATGGGATTTTAATGGGATTTTATGGGATTTTATGGTGGATTTAATGGGATTTAATAGGATTTAATGGGATTTTTATGGTGGTTTAATGTGGTTTAATGGGATTTTATGGTGGTTTAATGTGGTTTAATGGGATTTTATGGTGGTTTAATGTGGTTTAATGGGATTTTATGGTGGTTTAATGTGGTTTAATGGGATTTATATAATATGATATAGCCTCTGGTAAACTAACAGTTTGCTATGGAAAATGGCCATTTATAGTGGGTTTTCCCATTAAAAATTGTGATTTTCCATAGTTATGTTAGTTTACCAGAGGCCACTGTGGATGGTTGCGAAATCTTGCACCAGTTGAAAACGGTGGTAAGCATCCCATTATTTATAGGGTTTCAACCATCCTTTTGGTGGTGCAGGATTTCGCAACCATCCACAGTATGGTGAGCAGTTCTTTTGAGCATTGATCATGGCTTCTTTCAATCATATGCTTGTATTATATAAACATTGTTGGATCAAAGGTAGCCAGCCCTGGCATGAAACCTTCCCAGGCTTCCCATTCGCTGGGACAATCATCGAGGGAAATGGGGATAACCAAAGGTACTTATCTGGTTGGTGGTTTTAAGCATCTTGAAAAATATTAGTCAATGGGAAGGATAACATCCCATATATCATGGAAAATAAAAGCCATGTTTGAAACCACCAACCAGATAAACATGGTGATTTGGGGGATGGTTTTGTTTTGTAGGTTTACCACATTACTTTGCATGCTTTCCCCACAATGATCTATGGTTTGAAACTACCAACCAGTGACATTCTGATGTTTTCCCCAGAATTTCCAGTTTCCAACGAGTTTCCCACGGAAACCTATCTATTTAGGGCTTGCGCGATGTACCTTGGATGATCATAATGGTGACTGGAAGGGCCCCGCCAGATATCAATTTCTTTCTAAACCCACTTACCTACAGATATATCCATCATAAATTCCAGCTATATATAATATATATATACATATATGTCTGAAATCATGATACCCAAAAATTTCATGGTTGGTCATCATTTTCCCCATTGAATCATGGCAATTTTGTAGTATCCCCCATTTTCAGACACATCCATAATAGTTAGAAACCAACATAGCTGCCTAGAAGGTGGTGCGCACCAGTTGTACGTTTGACTGAAAAAAGATAGAACGGTATACTCCCTCTAAAATAGTGTTCATTTACTCGTCGATCTTTTTTGGTGGTACTATCATAATCCATTAACTACATCACGCTATATTTACCAAAAACGTATAAATACTTCATACACGCCATCTATAAACCATAGAACTCACCTGGCTAGAAACCAACGTTGCCACTGGGGAAGCTCCCCCACCAACATCAACTGAGCAGCAAAGAACTGGAGGAATCCTGGCACAGGTAAAGTTCACGAAAATCCCCAGAGATCCCCAAGTTCTAAATATAGTGAGGATATCTGGTGATTTTAGATATCAGACAGAAAATAGTGACAGATATCAACAGATATCCTAGCATTGACAGAACATATGGTTGTTATGGGTTGTTCTTGTTGAAATAGGGTGAACACAAACACGCCAAATGGCTCCAAATGATGATGTGTTTTTGTCGATCACTGGATGGTACCTGGACATAGCCATAATCACTTCACCAAGTGATAACTGCGTTGTGTTTACCCCAGTTACACTTCGAGAGTATAGTTTTTTTTAAATATAGATTATCATCATGGCCTCCAGTAAACTCCAGGTGAATATGGTAAATCAACCAAAAATGGGCCATATATTCCATAGTTATCCATAGGTAATTTAACAGTTGAACATGGCCAAAAAAAAGTGAGTTTTCCCATTAAAAATGGTGATTTTCCATAGTTTACCTATGAAAAATGGTGATTTTCCATAGTTTACCTATGAAAAATGGTGATTTTCCATTGTTATGTTAGTTTACCAGAGGGTATCTATAGTGATCCATGGCTGAGAGCCAGGCCTGATGAATCGATTGAAGCCGCAGCAGCAGCTCACAGCTTCCCGTCGGCGACTCCAGGACTGTCGTCGCCTAGCGAGGATTGCAGACCCAGGTTAGATAAGTTTCCAAGAATCCAGTTATACTGTATATTGTACTTTTTGTTACTCTCAGTATACTGTTTTCCAGGCGCATATATATATATTGTATACTATCAGTTATATATATATATGTTGTATACAACTGATTCTCCTACTGGATAGTATGATACCCTCATGGATACTCAATATACATTTTAGTATACATCATAATATTCAAAAAACACACCAGATCCGGATCTTGGATCCGATGCAAATTCGAACCAGGAAAACCAGTGGATGTCGAATCATCGGAAGATGGGCGAGATTTGTTGATTTATTTCAGCCATACGGCGATGATGCCATATTTTTGGCCAGATTGGAATAGAGCCAGATGTATTTTCTTTAAGCCATACAAGGTCGTGCCCCACCCCCCAGTTGTAAATTGGTTTATATAAACCCCATTAACCAACCATAGTTACATATGTATATATATATATATATCACCCACAAAAACCATACAAGTAGTTATTGCAGTTATGTTCACCAACCATAGCTATCGAACGGGTGCACCACCAAGCGTAAGTGTCCCTTTCTTGGTAGTTTTACTGAGGATGGCTGCGAAAGCATGCACCAGGATTATGAGGAGATCAGCTGCCCACCAATGGACTAACTGGTAGGATTCCGCAACCATTCAGCAGTAGTAATTATATGTACTTCTACCCCCTTTTTGTTTGATTCATTTATGTTGTGTGATAGTTAAAAACCCGGTAAAATGACTAGACTATCTAATTATATATATATATACTCCACATAAACCAGAGTATATATAGACACCACCATCTTTTGATGATTAGACTCCACAGTTTCCCATAGTTTGATGTGTTTCACACCTCTTAAATAGAGAAACGAATCACCGTAGATCGCCGACCCGGGTCGCCGGGTCGCCGCCTGAATCAAGTGATGCATCACCTGCCCGCCGGGCCTGAGACCGTGGCGAAGATGTTTGTGGCAAGATGAGAATTGAGGATACCTTGGACCTATATATAATATATTAATCATAAATACATATTATACCAGCTTCTTCAAAGTGACCTCGATGTTCATTTTGATATATAGAGGTCACTTACATAAAGTCATTATCAAAATGAATATCAAGGTCACTTAGGAGAAGCTGGAAGGGGTCACTTACCTACTAAAGGGTCATATATCCACCTATAAGGGGATCATAACATCACCAGCCCAGGTCCACCCACATAAGAACAACTTAAAGGTCATGATAAGGGATCATAAGGGGATCATGAAATCACCAGGGGCCCTTAAGGTAATGATAAGAGCAATGTAAAAGTCGTTCTTCCCCGCCCATCACTCATCACTATCATTTGCTCTGCGACCACATCTTGGAGCTCTTCACCAACTTGCTCAGCAAGGCCGGCACAAGCTGTCAGCTGGAAGGATGGTGAACATAAACTTTGAGTGCCCTGATATTATGATATATAGTGTGGGTAATTTTATGTTATCCTTCCTCAAGCTGCCTCAGCCATCGAACAGCTACAAACGAAGAGTAACGCTCTAGGACTTGTCGTCCGAGTAATCTCGGATGAGACCGGCTAGCTAAAGACTTGACTTTGCCAACCTCAGTTTCTGGCACCAAAATGTTGAACTGGTCCCACACACAAAAAACGAAATGTAAAGCACATGTGCAGTTGAACTGGCATCATGAAATATTAGACTAGCCACGAAGTCCTCGTCACTGTAGCAGCTCACCCACAACGGTGACATCCGGGGGGCCAAGTCAATGGCTATGTGGTCTAGTCTCAGTTGACACTCAAGGTAGCTCAAGGTATGTTTTGACCCATAATCTTTCAGCACACACATGCATGCACACACCAGTTGCATTCCAGTAACTTATGTAGTTTTGGACGTACTTTCCACAGAAGTCGATTCTGTACCAACGCTTCTTGCGCTAGCCCTTGGGTTCAGTAATATGTTGTGCAACATAAACTTTGTGTGTATGGACCCATCACTGCGCTCACCCCACCAACCAAGAGTCAGTTCAACGCACTGTGGAAGAGATAGTTGCTCGTCTCCAACTTCTGCAGGTTCGATGAAGTCAACAAAGGCCCTTGGCGTAGATTCACAGCATCTCTCATTGCACAGGCATTGATAAACACCGCTGCGCGCAACCTCAGGTACAAAGTGAACATGGATCAAACACCCACTATGTGCAATGCCAAACTTAGTGGTAAACATACTCCAGCAACAAAGGCTATGGCTGCATGTGCAAATCGCCAGGATCCCGTTGAGCCAGTGCAACTGTGACCCCCATCAACCATTTTGCCAAGATAGCTGCTTCCTGAGAACAGAACATTGGAAAAAACAACATGGTTATATCATCTTAATCTTAAGTAACCACAGCAAGATATCAGGAGTACTGAGTGCAAGTCAGCCCCATTGAAGTGTTTCTGCGCGATGGTGGGATATGTACGATTGTTGCGAACAAGGTGCTTCCTTAACTAGGAAGAAACAATCGAAACATGGCTGGTTGTCACTACTTGAAAAAGAAACACTTGTGATCCACCAAGTGACAATGAATAGAACAGGCCCCGGTTTCCTTGGTGTTTTATGGATCTGACTCCCAACCTCCCATCCCACCACTGTAATCTGCACAGTGTGCAACATAGTGGATCTAGACCCAGGTGCGAATCTTGTGCTGCTTGCAAAGATTGCTGAACTCCACATAGGCTGCACGTAGCCGATCATCAATGCCAGGTCCTGGCTCAGGTTTTGCCCCAGGTCTTGCAACAAAAGAAAAACAATGAGAAAGATACAACCACCCGGCCATCATAGGTGATTCTGAAACCAAAGTACCCCACCTTGCCACACATCTTGACCATCACAAAGTTCTATAAGTGCCTAGGTTCAACTGCACAAACTCTTACAATGGTTCATGTGTAAATTGTTTGGGTGGTAGTTAATTCTGGCAATGGTATTATACAAAAATGCAGTCTGGGTACTGATGCTGCAGCATCCGGGATCAGCGCAAGATCCAGAACATGAAGCCAGTCATATGCTATCATACTTGGGTGAAAGCCCGGCACACGGGTCCAAGCATTGGGTCCCACTTTGGAAGTAACAAACGTGTGAAGGTCCACAATTGTTTCCCGGTGTGGGGCATTCTGTCCAAACCCTGTGTATAAGTACCGTGAATCGGAAAGCCTTGATGCCCTGCAGGTAAAACATACCTCTTCACTCACCCAAGTGTTCTTCACATGAAATGCTTTGGCCAGTGCCTTTTCATCTCCTCTGTGGGCGACAAGCACCCCGATCCACCCATCAGCGATCAACGTTCCTGCTTTATCCTCTCGTCTCCCCATGTACTCACCCCAGGGAGAGTGTTGCAGCCAACGGCCAGCACCCAACTCAGTAAAACTCCATGCAACCCAGGTGTCAAGGGTATCATAGGTGTTGGAACAACTTTTGGAGTTGTCTGTGCAGTAGAGCAAAAACCGAGAATCCCAGGGCGACTTGTGAACCAGTGCACTTCCAAATGTAGTTACCATGAAACTTCTTCTCCTATGAGCCTCTCCATCATCTTGGTGAAAAATGAGAGGCACACATCTGGATAGGTCCGTAGCCTCATTGATTGATGTTATGAATCAGAAGTTAAACATGTAGGAAAGGAACATTGAACAATGCACAGTTCTAGGAAAGGCATTGCCAAGTGGCAGGGTCCCCAAGAATTGGATGGCTCCGGAAGAACTCGGTGTTCTTCTGGTGCTCCCAGAACTCCTCAATCGCCTTGGGAGAGTTAAGGTGATAGGATGTATATACATTTTGCAAAATATGTTGAGATAAGAAACACCAGGTGGGCCAAGAAAGCGCTCCATAAACAACTTTTTGTCATAGTGGTAAATGCTGGCAAACCTTGGATCGAATCACATACCCTTAAGAAACCAAAGCGAACAGTTAGTGAAATACATGTGTGGCCAAAGAACACCTCTGATGGCAAGTAAATATGCCAGGATCCCATGTAGTATTTGTCCGTCAACGAAGGGTCTTCCAGCACCGTGTTCACCCTCAGATAGTGTGAAGGACTATGATATCAACTATTATAGGCAGTCATCATTTTGTGATAACCATCCAGGGCACTCAAAGGGTCGGGGTAGCATTCTGCGCCACGGTTGTTTGGTGACCCATTGCCAGAAATTGCGTGGCCCATTACGGCCGCAATCAGTCTGCGTCCGGAGTAAGTCCTGCATGTTCGACCTAAGATCTATGTAGTCTGATCTCAACTAATGGAATGAACATCATATGCAGTGCTGTTCAACAGTTAATATTGCCAACTAGATGCGGTAACAGTCTTCTGGGAAACCGTTTGCGGATAACCTGCAGCATCTTCATCAAAGTTGTTACGCTAACCTGGGCTGATCATGTTTTTTTTTGGGGGGGCACACCTGAGATGGAATGGTACTGGGTTCCAAGATTCCAAGACTCTGCAATGTTGCTGCCAGGTGACTTGGCGCCCAAGCTCAAGGAACTCTTCCACAACATCCATCCCGGCGAAGGCAATGGTAAAATGTGGAGGACAGTGGGGCAGGAAAATGAAAGCAAAAGTCTTTATGTTTTCCATAGCCCATTGCTTTGGAGTAGTTATCACTTATGATATCTCAAGTATAATATTTCATGATATGGCTTTGGAGTACTATAGTTATCACTTATGATATCTCAAGTATAATATTTGATGATATGGCTTTGGAGTAGTTATCACTTATGATATCTCAAGTATAATATTTCATGATGTGGTTGCTATCAGTCCACTCAATTCCCCTTGAGTGTACCCCCCTGCAAGGACATAAAACATAAGTGAACAGGTCAGAAGCAAAAACCAAAAGAGCCTTAAGAATTCCTACTGCAGCTGGAGTAGTAACAATCAGATTATGATGGAACTTTTTCTTCATCACATGTAGACTTAACGCCAACCATTTCCGAGAGTTTCAACTCCACTTTCCATTCAAGTGGAAGGAATGAACCCCATAAATCACGATCGGTTTGATCATGTTCCCCAAAATAAAAGGCAGCCGATTGGGAGTAAACAACTCACCTCGACCACCTCACCGCAGAAATTGGTGCGTGCTGTTCACAGCAAAACTCTAAACACTTGAGTTCAAAAACAGCTTGGGCCAAACTGGAACCGATATGGTAATAGTAACTTAATAGCGCTACATAGCTGTTTTTGAACTCTGGTATTGATAATCATTCACATGTGACACATCGGCTGTTCGAACCATTGATCAAATTCACATTCCATTTAAAATAAGATCATGATGTGCCGATGTTGAATGACAGGGTCCAGGGCTGTTTGAACAACACATTTGCAAGAAGTGATAAGTAACATAAATCAATCATCCCCAGACCCATCATCACCAGGGGGTGACTCAATCTCATCTACGCCATCACCATCATCCGACGCCACAGGTGCAGGCGTTGCTGCTGGTGTCCCCTTGCGCTTGCGAGCAGGACCCTTGACATTGCTGACACGGCGCTTGGCATCCCTTACATCGCTCTCAAGTGGGGCCATGGCTTTCTTCATCTCATCCACGAAGTCCTAAGCAACCACAGGGTGAACAGAAAGTTAAACTCAGGGAGATGATTCAACATAGGTGTCTAATGTATTGGAAAGAGCTTCATGCCATATGCATATGAGGAACATGTATCTCAGAAGCCTCGATTGTAGATGGAACATCTTCCATCCGTTTGGTACTTTTGTCGAAAAGCATAGCGGCATAGTCGACATGGGAATCCAAGGCTTCAACCTTAGATAACTAAATGTTTTTTTGAATGTCATATATGGCGTATAAACAACAGATAGCTTTGAAAAGTGTAACAATTGATTTGGATGGATGTTGAGACCAAGTGCCAGCTCACCAGAGTTACGAACCCGATACTGCTTGAGTTCATCCATCATCTTCGGCAGCTCGTTGATGATTTTTTTCAGCCTTGGATGCAGGATGTTGAAGGATGTAAAAAGTAGGCTATGGGATCCTATAATGGGACTATGGGATGATCCTCCAACATACGTAAGGTCCTATAAATACTTACTATAATTATATGGGGTCATATATGGTGGTATGGGAAGCCATACTATGTGTAAATAAACTATGTGGTAAAAATTATATGGAGATAATTGTTCTCGTCTTATATATTGTGCACCAATGTTTTGGCAAGAAACTTTGCATTCACCTTCTTGAGTTCGTCCAAGGCCAATTGGACTGGCGTTTTTTCCTTCTTACCCTTCTTAGAAGTGATACGTCCAGTCTTGAGGTCCACTAGACTTGCTCCTTCTAAGCTTTCCAAACTTTGCCCTAGCTGCTTAGCAAGCATCGCTTTGAGCTGGGGGTTTCTCACCCTTCCACCAACGGACATCATCGATTCCCCTTTCTGTCCCTGGGAAATTTCTTCTGATATTTCCCGTAATACTTTGTACATTTTTGCTTTGGGGCAGTTTGGCGCCTGAGGGTGCGCAATGCCCGACTGGCCTGCACAGCTTGGAACACAGCAGGATGTATTGGGATATGTAGGAAACATGTCGAGGCAATATTATTTGATTTTGCATTGCATGCATACCATAGATGTGAGTAGCATCATCTCAAACCCCCTAAAATCGTTCCCCCTGACCTTTGATGAGCTCTGCAATGAAATCTTTGGCTTCTTGGGACGACCCGTAAGTCTTCTCCAGCTGTAGAAGGGTGACCTCAACCATATAGTGGAAAAAAAAAACAAAACAACCTTTTAATACTATCACCCCATGAAGCTTTTATGGCCAAATTTGGTTTGATTAATTGGGATGTTGTTTTGGTTTCTCCATTTACGTTTTGTAATTGCCATGACCCATAGCCATGAATTCAGACATGGAACAGTGGAGTACTTGTCACTGCGCAATTCCTCCGTCCACCGAGTGTACTTTTCCTCCACATTAATGGAGTCAGTCTTCCCATCATTGGTGAGCCACTGCTTCAGCATTGTCCATCTAGGCAGGGATGGATGAGTAATTCAAAGGTCGATCGTAATCATTTTTTTTATGACCAGTGTTTCTTTTCTAAAAAAAAACTCAAGTATTGACGAACCCCCCACCTCTCAGTGTCCGAGCACAGTTGGTATTTAGCCAATAGGCTAGGGTTGCAGCACTTATGGATAGCACGACCCATTGCACTGTACTGCCTCTTGCGTTCGGATGCCTCCATGCACTGTGGACTAGCCATTGATCGAATCTGCTCTTTCTGATCTTCACTAAGCTTTGTCATCCGGGTATTGGTTGACCCCCGGAGAGTGTCCTTGAGGGAAGAAAACCATTCAACATATGCAATGACGCTATGTTTAACAGCTGATCAATATCTAGGAAATAAAACCTGAATAATATAGGATGGTGCTACTATATCGAAGGTGCATTGGAAATAATGAAACCAAATCCTGTCCTGGCTTCCACTTGGGCATGGGGACAACGTACTTTCAGTCGTTGATGGTGAAAGCATATCCACCATGTCAAAGCTCGGGAGCGTCCTTACCCTTTCAAGAGGCTTGTCATCCTGGGCAGTGGAAATTCCCCAGCCCAAAGTCTTTGTAGAATTGAGTTTCATTATTTTTTTTTATCAGATAGACAGTATTGTATAAATTAAGGCAATACAATACCGATCAAACAACTAACCCACCCCAGCCTCAGCATCAGACAGGGAGAATTTCAACTTCTTCTTTTCGGGGGTATGTCCAGTTGGACCCTGTTGGCCACGTTTGTCAGCCAGCTGTCCATCACGCCGAGCACGTTTTCCCTCAGGACTGGTGGAGCCAGCTGTGGTGGAAGCTGAGCTCAGGCCCTTCCGTTTTGGGTCAGAACGATCCAACTCCTCCGTGTTTACATCAGCCTTGCCCTTGGCTGGTGTGATGTTGTGACTGTCTGGCTGCTCAGTCTTACCTTTGCCATCCTCTTGGGATTGTCGGCTATTCTTCTGATCTCCAACATCCTCACCTGATCCTGCTGCTGCCTTCTTCTGATCTGCCTTTGACGTGTCCTTCTTCGTGTCAGAAGTTTTCTTTCCTTTCTCCTCATCCTTCTTGGCGTTGCCATCTTCAGATGAAGATGGTCCCTTCTCATTGCCAGCCTTCTGTTCCTTCTTCTTGTCTTTTTTCTCATTTTTCTCTGGCTTGCTGCTTGCCGGATCTTTGTCTCCTTCTTTGGATGTTGGCTTCTTCTTCGTTTGTTCCTCTTGCTTCTCTACCTTCTTATCTCCAACATCCTCACCTGATCCTGTTGCTGCCTTCTTCTGATCTGCCTTTGACGTGTCCTTCTTCGTGTCAGAAGTCTTCTTTCCTTTCTCATCCTTCTTGGCTTTGCCATCTTCAGATGAAGATGGTCCCTTCTCATTGCCAGCCTTCTGTTCCTTCTTCTTGTCTTTCTTCTCATTTTTCTCTGGCTTGCTGCTTGCCGGATCTTTGTCTCCTTCATTGGATGCTGGCTTCTTCTTCGTTTGTTCCTCTTTCTTATCTACCGTCTTATCTCCAACATCCTCACCTGATTCTTTTGCTGCCTTCTTCTGATCTGCCTTTGACGTGTCCTTCTTCGTGTCAGAAGTCTTCTTTCCTTTCTCCTCATCCTTCTTGGCTTTGCCATCTTCAGATGAAGATGGTCCCTTCTCATTGCCAGCCTTCTGTTCCTTCTTCTTGTCTTTTTTCTCATTTTTCTCTGGCTTGCTGCTTGCCGGATCTTTGTCTCCTTCTTTGGATGCTGGCTTCTTCTTCGTTTGTTCCTCTTGCTTCTCTACCTTCTTATCTCCAACATCCTCACCTGATCCTTTTGCTGCCTTCTTCTGATCTGCCTTTGACGTGTCCTTCTTCGTGTCAGAAGTCTTCTTTCCGTTCTCCTCATCCTTCTTGGCTTTGCCATCTTCAGATGAAGATGGTCCCTTCTCATTGCCAGCCTTCTGTTCCTTCTTCTTGTCTTTCTTCTCATTTTTCTCTGGCTTGCTGTTTGCCGGATCTTTGCCTCCTTCATTGGATGCTGGCTTCTTCTTCGTTTGTTCCTCTTGCTTCTCTACCTTCTTATCTCCAACATCCTCACCTGATCCTGCTGCTGCCTTCTTCTGATCTGCCTTTGACGTGTCCTTCTTCGTGTCAGAAGTCTTCTTTCCTTTCTCCTCATCCTTCTTGGCGTTGCCATCTTCAGATGAAGATGGTCCCTTCTCATTGCCAGCCTTCTGTTCCTTCTTCTTGTCTTTTTTCTCATTTTTCTCTGGCTTGCTGCTTGCCGGATCTTTGTCTCCTTCTTTGGATGTTGGCTTCTTCTTCGTTTGTTCCTCTTGCTTCTCTACCTTCTTATCTCCAACATCCTCACCTGATCCTGTTGCTGCCTTCTTCTGATCTGCCTTTGACGTGTCCTTCTTCGTGTCAGAAGTCTTCTTTCCTTTCTCATCCTTCTTGGCTTTGCCATCTTCAGATGAAGATGGTCCCTTCTCATTGCCAGCCTTCTGTTCCTTCTTCTTGTCTTTCTTCTCATTTTTCTCTGGCTTGCTGCTTGCCGGATCTGTGTCTCCTTCTTTGGATGTTGGCTTCTTCTTCGTTTGTTCCTCTTGCTTCTCTACCTTCTTATCTCCAACATCCTCACCTGATCCTGTTGCTGCCTTCTTCTGATCTGCCTTTGACGTGTCCTTCTTCGTGTCAGAAGTCTTCTTTCCTTTCTCCTCATCCTTCTTGGCTTTGCCATCTTCAGATGAAGATGGTCCCTTCTCATTGCCAACCTTCTCTTCCTTCTTCTTGGCTGTCTTCTCATTGGTCTTCGGCTTGCTTCCTTTAGATGAGGACGATGCCTTTTCCTCAACCTTCTTCATTGTGGCTCTGCCTTTCATCTGCTCAGGCTTTGTCTCATCAACGTTCATCTCATCTTCCTTGGGCACCTTCTGCCGAACCTGTTCTTTACCATTTGTCTTCTTTGTTTTTCCTGCTTTTTCCCTTTCTGTGTTCTTCACCATGGCTGGTGGTCCTGTACAGGGATGATTGCTTGTTTTAACCCCAAACCAAAGTGAGCAATATTCGTTTGGATTGAACCTAGTAATGAATTGGCCAAAAACATGGTTTTTGTTCAACTCTAGTCCTCTATCCCAAAAGTCAGCGAGAAGGCCCAACTGCTGAGACGTCGGGTTTTTCACCCCAAAACGTGCCGTCTGAGACACGCAACTGACACGGTCTGGTTCGATATATGCTACTGGGCTAAGTGACCCTTTGATATGCTAAGTGACCCTTTGATATTCCTAAGTGACCCTTTGATATTCCTAAGTGACCCTTTGATATTCCTAAGTGACCCTTTGATATGTGAAAAAAATCTGCCAGTGACACGGGTCTGACACGCTTTGACACGCACCCTCGATCCAAAAAAATATCAAAAAGTCGATCGAAAATGAAACCACCCATCCTACCATGTCGACACCATGTTGACACCCGATGCAGGCAAGAAGTGCCAGCTGCACCCTACATCTGAGAGATTAGGCAAATCAGCGTGGGAGCAGCAGGTTTTTCCCCCAAACATTCAGCTTCAGAGTTCAGGTAATTTTCCCAATATCAAACACCAGTGGATATCCCTACTGGCCTCAAATCTAATTAGTTTGCCTCAGGTTCCAGGATGTCATCCAACTCACAGCGGCAATCTGCGGAGACCGCCAACAAATTGTTATAGTCAGTCCTTGGTGGGGTCTACTGTTCCATTACGAAACTACTTTCCTGGGATAACACAAGGGATATAACAAATGTACAGTATATCAAATCCCAAATTGTCGATCGACTTCTTTGACCATATATGGACATTTCATGGCCAGCATGGGCAATTATGATTCATAGATCACTTTGAGACACAGATTGATCTGACTATTAATTGTTAGAGATCCCCAATATGGTTTAAACCTTCAGGAAAAAAACAAAACAACCCAGCTACAGCAAACATATCTGAGATTTTATATCGGGGTTTATCATATCGCTTGGACTTCCCAGTATACTTTGCACCCCCTCTAACATCAGATAACTTAATTCTATATTCCAATTATCAAACCCAAATTGTGTACCATGAGGGGTGTTCTTTGCCTTAGAGATTTACCTGTGTGGATTTACTTCTGGTAAGAAACAAAAACCTTGCCAATATCCTACATGGCTCTCTGGGAGCCACTCTTTTAACTGGGTGGCCCAACAACTCACGCAAATCTTCTCTTCTGCAACCGTAAGCAAATAGTTAAGCCATTGCTCCTTCAAAGCCTGTCGCCTTTCCTTTTTGGTTTTGGCACGGTTGTCTTCCATGCCTGTATGAGTTGGATATATTGATGGCTTAGAGCAAAAACAGCTGTGGGCCACATTTGATAGCAAAAATGAATGAGCTTTTCAAAGACATTTCTGCATACCTAGCTGTGAAACAAAGCACACAATACCTTCCCAAACTGCCATACACCCTGGACCCATGGGCAAGTTGCACCTTTTCAACATTGTTGCAGGTTGCCACAGTGGTATAGCGCAGCCTGTGGAGAAGGCACCATTCCAACTCCTGGCATGGGACATGGAGTGGTGATGGATGGGTGTATATATTTTCGATCAACCATGTTCAAATGCAATACTGGTGATATTGGAAGAGATCGTTGCATCCCCCCCAAAAAAAACTTTTTGTGTGGAATGATTCATGTGGCAGCATATAAATGTTATAATATGAATGTATTATTTCCAAAGAAAACAATAGGTGAACCAATGGCAATAGGGATTATCAGATTATCATTAGTGCAACCACTACTCTACAAATCTGTATTTCTCATCCAAACAAACCATAGGTTGATCATGACGATGGACCGGGATAACCACCATAGAAACCCCCATTGATTAATCTAAAACCAAGATTGTAAAACATATTTCATACATCAAAACTTTCATGGGGACCCTGGCAACCTAAACAGCCATTATGTCCTTCACATGTGCCATCAGAGACGGCGCCATGCAGCAAACTTGCGACCCTTAATCAAATCATCTATGGCTCCATCGTCGAAGAAATCCGGATCATCATCCCCAATCTCAATCTCCTCAAGGAGTGGCGTGGGTAATTGCAATTGCAGAAAATTTGATAATAGATCGATATATTTTTTAAATTAATATGAACTTGATTGAACTTGCATGAACCCAGCTCCGGCTGCTGGTGTGGAACCCCAGTCGGAGCAATCAGGTTGGCTACTGCCAGCCCGAATGACAGGGGGTAGCTGGCCGACATCTGCAAACTCCTCTTCTGACCAGTCACCCCCTTTCGGCCCCTCTTCGAGACCGTCTTCTTCACTAAAAGTGGCTGACCTGTCCTGGCAGAAAGCAAGTGACTGGTCAGAAAAGGAGCTTGGTGCTTTCGGCAAACTATCCCATCCAATTTCTATAGCCTATAGCCATACTCAATGGGAGATTTTAGGGTTTGGAGAATGCCAGAAAGTGAATTGCATCATGTGGTGTCTGACACTTGATCTCATGTGCAAATGTACATTGGAAAAATTGGTTTGTCCAGCATACTTTACTTTAAATCTATTTATTTTGAAGTGAACTCATATGCTCAAAGCTACAGAGGTTCATCGGATGTCATTTTAGTTGAATAGAACATTGAGATCTGTGATGTATCGACATTACTATCCTATACAGCGACCATGTATCCCCATTTGACCTTATGACCACCAGTCTCCTGGCCAGAATCTCCTTGAGCTTCTTCACATCCAGCGGGCGCCACAAGGAGTGGATGGTGTCCAATGTAGACCAGACCCTGAGCAGTTTCGGTGTGGGTACATTTTTACTATTTAGGTTGGTGTAGGCTGTAGACACTAACCTGAGGTCCAAATATGGGGTCCACCAAAAATAAGTTAAATCACCACTTTTGGAGCACATGCCATATGTGTGCATGCTAAGTGTCACTGTCATCTTCAAAGTTGGTGCCCCATAGGCTCCCATTGGGAACGCCACCCGCCTCCAGAAGAGGACAAGCATTATTGGTTTATATGCAAATGTTATAATACCAGTGAACTTGTTCCAGAGCACACCTGGCCCCACACCAGACCAAGAATTTGCGCACAGGTTCCCAATGCCATAGAACCTTAAGTTAGCGAACCATGTGATATGTGATTTCTGCCAAAGAACCTTAAGTTAGTGAACCATGTGAAGTCTGCATGTTTCAACTGCGTATTTCTAATTCAGACTGGTCACAGATGAGGCTGGTTGCTCCACCAAAATTTTCACATTGCGCTTGGCTGCATAGTATAGACTTGGTGAGCATGGTTCAGAACAAGGAACATATATCTTTTGCGAAGAGTACACTGATCCATTGTACAAGTATCACTGTTGTTCAAAAGCCAAGTAACATATACAGCATACGGCGTACAAATATATTGGCCAACTTGACACCCCGGTTCCCTTCATCTCCCTCTGGCGAGTTCCATGAGCGTCGCGTCACACTCCGTGACAGGAATATCCAACTCGCACAAGGAGGAGCGAATACAAGTACACCACCAGGACGGGTGTTCCATACCTGGGCTGAAGGTGGTGCCACAGGGTGTCACAAGGTGGCTGTGCATAATGGCTGCTCTCTCCTAAATTGTACTTATATATTAAATATATATCATATTTGAAAACATTTGATCTCAGGGTGAGTATATGGGAGGTGTTTAGTATGGGATGGGACTAACAGTCTAACATGCACAAACCCAGAGCTGCAGACCAGTAGCAGCCGCCAGTATGGTCAGAAAGCCAACGGTGCGCATGAGATTGTGATTTCCAGAATACAAAATCTTAGTTGGACCAGAATCGTTCAGAAATAGATCAAACATGTTGATGCACCACATATTAAGGGATTATTGGAGCAATGCATTCACTTCTAACTGCAGAATCCAGGTAGCGTCAAATTCCTTCCCTTCATATCCGGTGTTTCGCATCGCTCTGCTCAGTGATCCACATCCAGCGCATACTTCAACCTTGGTAGGCAGTATTGTTCCAGGGAACATGGGAGTAAGAATTTCAAATTTCAAAGTTCACCAACCCTATCCCACAGATTAGCTGCAGTTGGGAAACAAAATCATTGTGGTGCTCAGGGGCATCCAGCTGAGAAAGGAACGCCAAACACAAAAGCAAATTTGCAGCCCTCATGCTCTATGATCTTCACTGGCGGTTTGTTTCAACCAGCCACTTCGGGCCCAACTGGAACGATATGGAATATTCCATAAGGAATGCGACGCTAAGCTGAAGTGCTACGCGAAGCTGAAGCTGCGTAATCATGTGCTATCAAGTATCAAGTATACTAACCACTGTTGGAAATACCTTGGCATATTTCAGTGCAGTACATGTTCCTTCTCATGTAGTGCAAAACCAAAGATGTAAGCATTGACTGCCGATCTCATTTCTCCCCAAGCGGTTCGGTACGTAGCAGCCGTAGCATATGCTACACCATCGCTAGGGCACCCCAAAGTATACCCCAAAGTAAAAGTGATTTTGGCAAAGCCCCTGAACAGAGAGGGAAAGCCCGAAGCACATCTTTGTTTGTTTAACATGTTAAAGACCACTGCAAATGCCTCATGTTTGACACTAGGGCTTCCCCTTTTTGGATCGCTTTTTGCGACCATCCAAATAGCCATCCATAGGAAATCCATTTTCACATGCCTTGGTAAGGCTGTAATACTTAGTGTTTCCCCCAGGTGCCAGAAACACCTTGTACAAGGCTCCACGCAATTTTCCCGTCAACCTCTTCCTGGTTTCTATCTTCCAGTCCTGCGAATGTTGGAGAATCTCAACAATCTCGAACTTCCTTAGCTAGCTAGGTCTGACTTTGATCACTGAAACCATGAGCTGGAATTACTTTGATTTTTTATGTCAGATGCATAGCCAGCATAGCCTACTGTATCTGTTTGGTTGAATCCCATACAAGCTAAGAGTCGACTTGTGTTCTTTACCTGATGGTTTCTTCTTTCTCAAAAGTTCAAGTTGATGTTCTGGACATGGAATTGGCTCAGAAGCTGCATCCAGGGCAGCCTGTTGGCATCGGTTAATTGCAATCTGAAATGACGATAGCACAAAGTCCTTGTGCTGGACCACATCAACCAGTGAACTCTCCTTAGATGTCGAATATGCAGAACCGATGTTAACATATATGGTTTTAAAATGTTTGAGAAATGGATCGATTATATAGGCTCCCAATGTAAGGTTTTAGATAATACTGAGCCAATCTTTGAAAGTATGCCAAACTATTTTTGCACTGGCCAGGACCAACCCCAAGACGAAACTACGAAACTACGAAACCAATGTGCCTTGTCGGTGGGTGCATCTGGCTTAGCCACCATCTTGGGACTCACCAGTGGCTTTACAGGACTTCCTCAGGTAAAGCGCGGAGCAACATATATTATCCATGATACATAAGGACAGACTGAACATGTAAAAGGGTCACTGATCGATTTACCTTGATCCATATATTTTATATAGTTCTTTTGTTGGTAGGTTTGGGTTTGTGATCAATAGGTTAATTCATGTTAAGTGTCTCCAACTCTTAGTTCGACGTCGGTGGGCAGGGATAGGAAGACCCAAATGGTTGGCTTTTCCTTTCGGTTCTTCACTCTTTGCTCCTTCTTTCGATTCCAGCTTCGCATTCTTCTCTTCAGTCTCCTTTAACAGATCTGCTTGCGGTTTGATCCAGTCAATCTGCGTCTGTTTGAACTTTCGACCTTCTTGTGTGATGTCATCTTTGCTTGGAAGGTTCCCTGGAACATCAAACCTTGGTCCTGGAGTCATCCATCTTCTAATATTTCTTTTTGGAAACTCAGTTCGAATTCTATATTTTCCATCCCCACTGTCCTTTTCAGTTTTTTCCTTTCCTTTCTGGTCTTTACTTGAACTGGTACTGGAAGAAGAAGACGTTGAACTTCTTGACGATGTCGATGTCGAACCATCGCTGCTGATGCTGATATCATCAGTGGCCACACTGTCTTTGTCATCACGTGCCTTTGCACCTGGAAGACCAAGATCTTTGAGATCCTTCTCCATTAGCTTCTTCCCTTTTTTGTAGAACTTTGCAGCTTTGTCAAGGACCTGCTTGTCAGTCAGTCCCACTGTTGAGAATCCGACTGCTGCGGCACTTGGCCGAGACAGCTTGGCACTGTCAGTCGAAACCTTCTCCATCTCCTTCACACCATCACTCACCTGATCATCTTTGGAAGCTTCATCTTTATCTTCATCATCTTCTTTGTCCTCCTCCGATCCTGAAGCTTCATCGCATTCATCCTTCTCTCCATCATCCTCATCTGAACTCTTCTCTTCTTCAGCTTCCTTCGCCTTGTCATGGTCTGAAGCTTTGTCATCATCTTCCTTGCCGTCTTCCTTTTCTTCCTCAGAGTCTGAAGCCTGGCATGCACTCTTCTCAGCCTCCTCATCTGAACTCTGGTCTTTTTTGCCATCCTCCTCTGCCTCATCCTCGTCTGAAGCCTCATCTTCATCCTGCTCATTGTCTTCTTTGTCCTTCTCCGATCCTGAAGCTTCATCGCATTCATCCTTCTCTCCATCATCCTCATCTGAACTCTTCTCTTCTTCAGCTTCCTTCGCCTTGTCATGGTCTGAAGCTTTGTCATCATCTTCCTTGCCATCTTCCTTTTCTTCCTCAGAGTCTGAAGCCTGGCATGCACTCTTCTCAGCCTCCTCATCTGAACTCTGGTCTTTCTTCTCATCCTGCTCTACCTCATCCTCGTCTGAAGCCTCATCTTCATCCTGCTCATTGTCTTCTTTGTCCTTCTCCGATCCTGAAGCTTCATCGCATTCATCCTTCTCTCCATCATCCTCATCTGAACTCTTCTCTTCTTCAGCTTCCTTCGCCTTGTCATGGTCTGAAGCTTTGTCATCATCTTCCTTGCCGTCTTTCTTTTCTTCCTCAGAGTCTGAAGCCTGGCATGCACTCTTCTCAGCCTCCTCATCTGAACTCTGGTCTTTTTTGCCACCCTCCTCTGCCTCATCCTCGTCTGAAGCCTCATCTTCATCCTGCTCATTGTCTTCTTTGTCCTTCTCCGATCCTGAAGCTTCATCGCATTCATCCTTCTCTCCATCATCCTCATCTGAACTCTTCTCTTCTTCAGCTTCCTTCGCCTTGTCATGGTCTGAAGCTTTGTCATCATCTTCCTTGCCATCTTCCTTTTCTTCCTCAGAGTCTGAAGCCTGGCATGCACTCTTCTCAGCCTCCTCATCTGAACTCTGGTCTTTCTTCTCATCCTGCTCTACCTCATCCTCGTCTGAAGCCTCATCTTCATCCTGCTCATTGTCTTCTTTGTCCTTCTCCGATCCTGAAGCTTCATCGCATTCATCCTTCTCTCCATCATCCTCATCTGAACTCTTCTCTTCTTCAGCTTCCTTCGCCTTGTCATGGTCCGAAGCTTTGTCATCATCTTCATCATCTTGACCTCGTTTCTTTGCATCTTCACAGTCTGACGGAGGATAGAGAGTTGGGTCGCCCAACTGGTTGTCCGGAAAGAGTTCATCCTCACTTGGAATCACGATGGCCTTGGGTGATGTTTTTTCCTCACCGTCACTGCTGTCATCATCGGTTGTCTTGCAGCTTTTCTCATCAGCGTGTTTTCCATAGTCATCTTCTCTGCATCTTTTCACCTCCTCACTTCCCTTCTCAGTTTCACCTTCTTCATCTCCTTCACCAGCACAGTCATCATTGTTACCTTCACTTCCATCTTCTGTGCCAACTTCGTCCTGATCGAATTTTGGTTCTTTATCCATAGATTCATCTCCACTTGTCTCATCATTTCTCCCACCATCTTCATCATTGTTGGCAGGTTCTCCATCACTGCAACAAGGTGTGGAGTCTGGTTTCTCTCCATCACTCCCAAGTCCACATTCGCTCATGTCATCATCGTCACTGGTGCCTTCCTCGGGGTCCTCCACATCTGATGGTGCCGGGCGCTTATGACCTCGTTTGTCGTCATATTCATCTTCATCTTTGTCTTGTTTGTCCTGTCCAGGAAGCCAACCAGGAATGGGTTACAAACGGTTTCAAATTTTAATTGTGTTACATGTTTTTTTCCTACGTATAGGTGAAAAATACGGACATCCTCATCTTCATCGAACTTGCAAGGACGACCACCACTAGCCAACCTCAGGGGAATGTTGTACTGTTTTGTGAATCAAGTCTAACATACTTGCAGCTAATGCCATCGATTTGAAAACAAGCTGCATGGATGAAGCGTCCAACAGAGGAATATCAAATATAGGCTGGGTTTCCATTTCATCAGGGTTCCTTGGTTATCGCCAGCAGTTGCAGGTATGAAATGGCACATTGTTTTCCAAGTATAGACCTGCCAAGAGTCTGGGTTGTTGTTTTGGACACAACAGAAGTTGAAGATTGGCCCCTATAAGTCATCTTTTGGTGCCGTCGCACCACATAGTGGCATCGTGCAGCCTCAAAGATAACCATGGGATGGGAACCAAATGAATGTTCAATTATAAAATTCACAATAGCCAAGATACTTGTTCTCGATGCCATTCTTCGGGATCTTTCCCATTCATGGGGCCTAAGTTGAACAAAATCAACGACGATTTGATTTAAATATAGTGGACGCACGTTTGATTCATTCGTTCACCACATAAGACATTTAATGGGCCAAGGGGCATAAGTTATGCCTGGTGCTCAGGAAACCAACCAACCTACGGAACTCAGCTTCTCTTGGGACCCTGTTTGCCTTTGTTTTTGACCATGCCTTCCGAAGCCAAGCGTTTCCCTTGATTCGGATGTCACCCCCAGGCAGCATCTCCTGTTCCTCTCTGATGAAATCTTTCGATGGCATATGTTTTTCCATGGCCTTGTAGAGCCTCCTCAGTGATCAGATGGATATGCTAGAAGTCAAAGATAATCTAATTATTCCATGCATTCCATATGATATCAGGGGTATAGACCAAAAAAATCAATCAGATCCAGAAGTGGTCTAGCCGATCTAGGTGCTACTTGTGAAGTGCAAACTAAAGGCACTACCTCCATCCATTAGACCCATGTTCCCAGATGTAAACCAAGAATCTGTGAATCCTTCGAGAGATTTTTCAGGGCACATGTCGCAGCTGTGGAGTCATCAGCCATGGCGGCAGTGAATAAACTCACTGCTGGATAGCTTTTTTTTTTGGCTGCATTAAGGCCCATATGTTTATATATATTATGTCGGGATTGCCTGGTGTTTAATATATGTGTAACATGTCTAACCCTAAAAATAAACGTAAACCATGACAACTGGTCCTGACCAGCCTGGTATGTTCATCAATCGAACCTGCAGGTGCTGCCTGGACAGATGCGCGGGATGCCTGTGCTGCGCTGTCATCTATCACTATCATCATGCCCCATGATACCCCAAGAAAGGTCACTTGGGTCTTTGATATCAAAAGGGCAAATGAGGTCACTTAAGCTTATATAAGGTAATCTATATCTCTTATGTGACCTTTAGAAATTTTGATACTAAGTGGCCTCTAATAGAGGTCACTTTGAAGAATCTGGTATATAAATATTACATATGTATTATTATGTATTGTATTATATATTGTCAATATAATTGTCAATATAATAATCATATGATCATATAGGCATATTCTTCTGTCATATGTAAATGTAGAGGATTCAAAAAACTCGGAGCTCCACACTCTTCGATCTCTTCGGCTTCCCACAGCCGAGCCAGCCAAGGCACAGTCGTAACTCTGAGGTCGCAATGGCCTACCATTTGGGCATGATAGTTACCAGCCATAACTGGTTGATGGTATACCTACCCATCTTGAAAAATATGAGTTCGTCAATGGGAAGGATGATATCCCATATATGAGATGGAAAATAAACAATGTTTGAAACCACCAACCAGATAAACATGGTGATTTGGGGGATGGTTTTGTTTTGTAGGTTTACCACATTACTTTGTATGCTGATATGGTGCAGCCTCTATATGTATTGTGTAATCTATATAGTCACTTTCATGACGTCTTTGACATCCACGGAGGCCTCAAAAACATCTCTAGGCACCAACGGCCCGAGGTCATTGCTCAAGGGGAACCTGAGGCAACAGAGGAGGTGATAAACCAACTTATGGGGCTGCCAACATTCAAAGTAACAAAGTAACAACAGATCATTCAATATTGGACTACTTTACTACACTTTACAACACTTTACAACACTTTAATCGATGTACTGGAACCATCTGAAACCCACAGGTCTAGGCTACCACCCAAAATGGGACATCCCTTAGAAGGGTTCCAAGTGTTTAGCCACTAAAGTATGGGAAATAGCAGCAAAGATGCATCCTGTGAAAAAAAGAATATATGCGATACAACATTGCATTGGAAGACCCCATGATGAATTGGGATATGATGAACGTTGAATCTATCAAATAAGGTGAATTATAATATTTCACTAACCTGAATTGTTGGCCCATTTGGGGATGATTTCCCTTATTCACTATGATTCCAGGGTTCGGGAGACCAGTGAGGTCGTGATCAAATTTACCCAGAGTGATTATGATAAGATAAATGGGGATATGATGAAAGTGGCATTTCTCTTGTGACGTCTAAGGCCACCAATTTCGACTATGATCCATGCGGATTCGTTCGAAACCCAGCAAATAAACCACCAGTAGTTGGTTTACTGACCCCAACAATATTGGATAATTTGGGGGTAAACAACGATAAACCAATGGTTTAGGGTTTATGGTTGTAGGTAAACAATAAATCATCCAATCAGTAATTTACTATGGTTTATATCGTATCCTGGATAAAAGTCATAAAATGATATAAAATGTTGTAAACCAAGTGATCTTTTTCGGGGCTCCCACCTGAATTTGGGAGCCCAGTCTGAATAGGTCCTGATGAATGACCCACCGAGCGTTGCTTGGTGAGTTTGGGGCGTTGTCGGATTCTGTGGATGGGAAGGGATCGGCTGTGACAGTGACATCATACCCTGGTTGGTAGTTAAAAAACCATCTTGAAAAAGATGCTCGTCAGTTGGGATGATGACATTCCCAAGATATGGAAAATTAAAATTCATGTTCCAAACCACCAACCAGATATCATAGCAATTGTGAGTTGATTGGCATCGATCTAAGCCAAATGAACCACATTGGCCACATATTAACCCACATCGGGATGTGCATGGGATGCTGCCAGATGAACCATCAGAATGTCGCCAAATCATAAGCCACCAGTTCTACTGGGGCTTTGGGGGTTCTGAGGTAGCGGCAAATTCTGTGCTCTTGCTTCGCGAAAGGCCTTTCGTGAGAGCGAGGCTTCGGGACATGTAAAAAACGTGTCAAGTGCTTGGTCCACGTCCTTTCGGTGCTTGAAATCTCAGAGCCAGAAGTGAAGTCACTAGTGCACACTAGTGCAACAAGCTTTTAGACTTTCCGAATTCCATGGATCAAGAGAGTGACATTTCACTTACATGTTGGCTGAATCTGTACACCCAAGTGCCAAGTAGGCTGGTGGTCGATGGCTATGGATTGGTACAATAGCCATCACTTTGCTAGGGCTTAAATTCTGACCCCGAAAAAAAACCATCATTTCGTGATTCGGCCCCTAACATCTCTTCATTCTGGTTGGTGGTATACCTACCCCTCTGAAAAATATGCGAAAGTCAGTTGGGATGATGACATTCCCAACATATGGAAAGTCATAAAATTCATGTTCCAAACCACCAACCAGATCATTGATGAAATATGATGGGATATTGCCATGAGCATGGGAATTAGTTTTACATGGCTATAACCACGTTTGTTTTTCCCATTAGTTATTTAATTTGATGTTCCCCGTCAAAACACACCTGCCAGGTCAAACGAAAAAAAAAAGGTCCTGGTAGAACTTCTCGCCCTCTACAGGATCTGGCGGAAGCAACTCGCACAGCATCATCAACGTTTTTTAGCGTTTGCCAATCCAATGATCAAACGAATCGCTTTGTTGTATTCAAGGAAACCGGTTCAACCAGGCTTCTTCCCATCAAATTTATAGGAAACCCCTACATTTGATGGTAAAAGCCATGGTTTTCATGTAGATTTTCCCTTAAACCAATCCAATGATCAATGGATGGAACGATGTCGAAACCTCGCACGAAAAAAGCCCCGAAAGAAAAAGAAACCTGGGGACACAAGCTTTCTACAAATGGAGGTTTCCAAAAATGGGGGTACCCCAACAATGGATGGTTTATAATGGAAAAACCTATCAAAATGGATGATTTAGGGGTACCCCTATTTTTAGGAACCCCCCTAAAATTAGTTCAGACTCCGTTACAATGCGAAGTTCACGAAGTTCAAACAAGTGCAATGAATAGGACCAGAATGGACTCTACATATCATGTGACCATTCGTACGATGCACACGATAAATCCTCCAAACTTGGACAACTTGGAACAGTTGGGAGATGACTGGAAAAGTACCCTCTGGTTATGTCAAAATAGCTATTGAAAATGGCCCAGTCGAAATAGTGGATTTACCCAGCTACATAGCATGGTGGATCTTTCCAGTTCGTTATGTTAATTTACCAGGCCGGGTAACCCAAGAAACACGTTAAGACCTTTACAATCCACGAAATCGGGGTGCAGCTCCCAAATGAATGGTGGGTGAACCATGGGATTGTCTGAAAATAGAGGGAACCCATTTTCACCCATCCCAGCTGTAAGTTTATCATCAATTTCCACTCGTCAAAATGGCCATTTCACTGAGGCTACTAAGTATATCTCTGCAGCCCTTCTTTACGCAATGTTGTTGAAATCTCAAGATCCTCTGTGAACCAATATCCAACCAATGGTGAATCACAAAAAAAAACTGGTCAACGATCTCTGTGAACCTTCATTGTGTTTCTGACACTATATTCGAGATTATTCGAGTTCTCCATTTCTGATTGAATATAGACTAACAAACTATTTTCATTTAAGTGGCTGTGGTTTAACTCGAATAATGGACAAAAATTGTCTGGAAATGGATTCCATTTTGTGGTTTCATTCGAGTTAAACCACAGCCAAACTCCCATGAATTTCAAGCCACAGAGCCACAGAGATCTCCAGAGACCCACCTGGGTCTAAGGTCCATCGAGGCTCTTGCAGCTGCAGAAAGGACTTCACCTTGGGAACACAACGGACGGAAGGCCGTGGCAACAATGGGATGATTCATGGGGAATTTCACAGAAAAATGAGACAATTTATATAGATGTAATGGATTTAGTGGTAATTCATGGGACATATAATCCACTTACCCTCTGGTAAACTAACATAGCTATTGAACATGGCCATTTATAGTGAGTTTTCCCATTAAAAATTGTGATTTTCCATAGCTATGTTAAATTACCAGAGGGTACAGAGTGGGATGCACATTCAGGAGGACTCCTCAAACGGCTCCGGCTCCAAAGTGCGGTACCAACCGGCCCAAAAGATGGTGCCGTTTCGACCCGAGCATACGAAAACCATGCACGTCTGTAGAACCCCGCAATACATGATGTGGAGGTTTCCTAAAATAGTGGTACCCCTAAATCATCCATTTTGATAGGTTTTTCCTTTATAAACCATCCATTGTTGGGGTACCCCTATTTTAGGAACCCCTCATGTAGATTTATGTTGTTTTGTCATGTAGGGGGATAGGGTGGCCCACGGCCAGGTGCAAGGTCTGCCATGAAAGGAGAAACCCGATAGGCAGTTGGATGATTGCCTCAATCATAGTCATCATAAGTCCATGATTCGTGGCTTATGCCGTTATCCGTTCTCCCATTTATATCCATTTATAACTCAACTAAGCCGCAAGTTTGTGAAGCATGGTGAAGCTAAGCAACACACTGGGTCCTTTTCTACCCGCGATTGGATTTCATCCTTTAATGTGTCTATTATCAAACAGTATTCGATTTCTGTTGAGACCTGGTAAGATGACAATATGTCCTAAACCACATTGCTTTACGAGTGTTATGAGCCCAAAACCCTCGAAACAACTAGCTACCCTACGAGCTAATGGATGTTTTCTCCCCAAGAATACCCTCTGATAATTTAACATAGCTATAGAAAATCACCATGTTTAATAGGTAAACCATCTATTTCTATGGGCCATCTATACCAGTTCGCAAACTGTTAGTTTACCAGGCCGGGTAAAATTCACAGCTTTTACACTCTGGTAAACGAACTAACATAACTATGGAAAGATCCACCATGCTTTTCATGGGAAAACTCACTATTTCGACTGGGCCATTTTTCATTTTTGACATAACCAGAGGGTATATCCCATTAATATCCCATGATTTCCCATGAAAATCCCATTAAATCACCATGTTCAATTGGAAAATCACCATTTTCAATAGCTTTTTTCTATGTTTACCAGGCCGGGTAACACATCCCCATGGCCAGAGGATGGGGACCCCATCCCATCCTCCCATGATCCCATGATCGACGGAGCGCCACTCCCATGATCCGCACGGTGAGGCCCTTGGACCATGGGAAAATGGAGCCGGTTGAGGGATAAAACATATAAAACCATGATATGATGACCTACAAAGTTGAAGAGTTTCAGTTCACTGGTTTATATCATGTTTAATTAGTAATTAATATACTTTAGGTCTCTACATAGTTCATTTTTTTGGGTTTAGGCGTTTAGGTTTATATATAAAGCAACATAACTGGTGGGGTCTCACCTTGTACCTGAAAGCCACTGGTGATTGTCTTCATGTTTTCTTTCCTGAAACAGGATATGATACGGAGTCCATCAACATACACTTGTGGTCTTCATCCCTTTTGAATAGTGTACATATCATAAAATAGAGTCTTGCTGGTACTTAGTAGGGAATGCGGGAATGGGATGATGGTTGATCACCGTTAATCGTTATGATATATCATATTCTTCCATTCCCTAAGCATCAGTAAGTGACCTCAATGCAAGGCCATGGCTCACTGGATCCTGCAGAAGTGTGCGAACTAAAGCCCAAGGGCGTATAACATATCCATCCTCAAAGTCTTATGCATCACAATAATTCATAATATGCATTCACCATTACATCTCATTTTGTGCGAACAAAAAAAAACTTTACCCTCTGGTAAACTAACATAACTATGGAAAGATCCACCATTTTTAATGGGAAAATCCACTATAAATGGCCATTTTCAATAGCTATTTTGACATAACCAGAGGGTAACCCGCTTTGCATTCGGTGAATCCCCATCATCTTATAATTCACCACTCATCATTGGAGTTTCTCATCCCAAATAGTTCAGCGAAACGCGGAAAAAGAGAGCCACGAACCAAATGTCAATGCCACTTAAAGGGACTTTCATGATAGGACCACCATTCCGATGTTTGCTTCCCCTATCATGTCTAAAAATGAACCCTCAGTTCAGAACATTCAATGCTTCATGTTCATTGATTGGACCAAACAAAAATGGGGAAAACATAGAAATCGAATGGATAAGTCATGATAAATCCGCATTCCTTTCATATCTTTCATGAGTTGAAATTGAGTATTCATCCACACAAGTAGATATCCATACAATTCATTATATACATATATATATATATCATATATCATATATCATATAAATATTATATATTCACTATAAAAAAATATTATTCTATTCCATTAAATCCCATTCAATGGTGCTTCTATCCCATCAAATCCCATACAAAATCTCTATTGGTGGATGGTTCCCGCTTCCTCGCGCCCAGTCGCCGGCGGAGCACCCGACTTCACAGGACTGGCGAAGGAGAAGAGCTGAGCCAAATTGGCACAGTCGGTTTTGCCTGGCCGCTTTGCGGCGGGGAAAGATGTGAAAAAATGGTGATTCAATGGCTATTTCATGGTGATTTAATGGTTGATGGTGATTTCATAGTGATGTCATGGTGATTTCATGTTGATTTCAGAGTTGTTTGTTGGTGATTTCATGAGATGAGCAACTAAAGATGGCGCTCATGAGTCAAAACCCCTGCAAGTTCCTGGTGAACACCGAAAAACAGCTGGGAATAGCTGGCTGTTCATCAAGCCACCTCCCTGAAAAGTGGCTGAAACTGATTGGGGGTTGCGAGTACTAATTATTATTATTTCATATTATTTCTATATGCTTGAAAACTAAAAGAAGAGAACCCACCAAGCAGCAAGACTACTCTTCACCTCATCCAACAGCCATTGGTTTTGGCATCCCAAAGATCACCATTGGTTGCATCCGTACTGTAGGAAACCTCCAGATGTAGATGCTTTGCATCAGTCAATAATAAATGGTGCATAATCGAAGTGAAGCCATTTATCGAACTAATCTAACGTTTTTTTTGGCGGTGATTGCCGATTTCGGTAGGATGCACATCCAAGCAACCCCTTCATGGCAATCGTTGACAAAAGCGGGAAATATGAAGAAGCGCAGGGGAGATCAATCAACAAGCTGGGACAAATGAAAGGGGTCAGCGATATTCCAGTATATTCCACTAGATCCATAGTTTTTTTTTTTAATCATAGTCATAGTTATATAATTAAATCCAGAATATCCATGTCATGTAAATTCATGTCATATATATGTTATCATAGCTATATCCATAATATCCATATCATGATTATCATCTAATATATTATATCCATATCATCTAATAAGATCCATATCCATTATATCATATCCATATCATGTAATATACCATTAAATTATATTAAATTCATATCATTCATAATATCCATATCAATAGGATCCATGTATGATCATGTATGCCATATATGGTAACATGGATCCCATCAATATACCCCAAATGTTAGCATATATACCATACATGGATCCTATGGGATATCATTATATGGTGCGTTTCTGCGTCCCATTTTTTCGAGCCGGCTCCGAGCCGGCTGGATCCTGCACTGATCCTGCACTGAGGCCCGGGCCGTTGAAACGATGATGCTCCGTGTCTTCCGAGTATTGCCTCTCTTGCCTGAGATGTCGACAAAAGACCCTCAGGAAAAACCTATAGAAACCATTAGAAAAACCCGTAGAAACCATTAGAAAAACCCATGAATTTTACGGATCAAATTGGTGCGTCAAAAGCGTTTTTATGTCATCCCCCGAAAATATTAACTGGTAAATCCCGATGGTCCCAAAGAAAAAAAAACATGTCCAAACCGCGATCCCATCCGTTCTAGCGCAGCATCTTTCGGGTGTGCTTCCACCAATGTGTGGGGTTGCACATGTCCCACTCTCACGCATGTCAAAAACAAACAACAACACATATCTTGTCATATCTGATCCACATGCAAAAAGATGCAAAAAGCACCATCCACATCTTCACATTCACTTTAGTTCAAGCAAGTCAGATCTCGCAATCCTGTTAGGGCTTGGCTTGGCAGATTGGCAGAAGCCAGAAACAACCCCCAGACAACCGATGCATTGTCATCATATGTTCATCATATGGCAGTGTGTCAAAACCAATAGTACCCCTGTAGTTCACATCAAAATAGCTGGGATTTATGGATGTTCATCCCACTAAAAATGGTATTAATAGGTATTGATCCATACCCATATGAATACTATTTATCATCATATTCCAACTTAAAGACCCACTACAAGGTGGTGATATGATATTGTGTAATATGTACATCAAATATCACTATATAATTATATATAATCACATATTATATATGATATATTTGGGTTTAAATTGTAATATTTCACTAACCTGAATTAAGGCCTCCAATCTTCCTTAGCGGGCCCAACCCTGAATTGTTGGGCCATAAAAGGGGATGATTCCCCTTATCAACCATATATATATATATATATCTTAATGACGCATAGTCCCAGAATTCCTCGCCATTCTTCAATGCCTATCTCGCCCCACTTTTCCACTCCAAAGACGCCTGTGGAAGGTGCCGTGCCCCACGCACTTCTCCAAAGCGTTGCTTTCTGGAGACAGGTGGCAGATCATGTGGTGCTTCACGGATAATCATCTTCTATCAATTGCGAGTATTATATGTGTTTGGATATCTATATTGGATCTGGGTAAATTATAATATTTCACCAACCTGAATTGTTGGGCCATTTGCGGATCATTTCCCTTACTAACTATGATTATAGTGAGGGAGACCAGTGAGGTCGTGATCAAATTTACCCAGATTAGATGCCATACCACCAACTAATTAGTTTCCAAACAGATATCCAAATAGTATAATATAGATTAGATAGTATGAAACAGATATAGTACAAATAGTTTCATACCAATGGATCAGTCTCAGACCATTCTGAAATTCTGTGTAGTCAGTGTCCGAGGGCAACCGGCAAGATTTTGTGACGCTTTGTGAGACTGTTCTTGATTATTCAATAGTAGTGTTCTACCGATGAAACTCCAGGAAGTAGTGTTTCTTTTTGTTATGTTTTTTTTGTTGTTTGTGAAAAAAATCTGTTCTACGATGAATAGATTCAACAGAACTAACAGAATTAACAGAACAATTGTTGTTTGTTTGTTCAATTCTGTAGTGCTGTTAGTTTGTTATCGCTGTACAATTTCTGACTGTCCATGGCTTGGGGCCTTTGTAGTAGTTCACGATGGCTTCTTGTGCGTTCCCAAAGCTCCATAGCCTGGGTCGTTGGGTCGGTCGTTGGGAAAAGCCATGGGAAATTCAACTTGAATGGCTAAATCATCGAAGAAAGTGTGGGTTTGGGCCATGTTACAATGTTCATCCATTTTCCCATTGGCAAATGGTGAGTTTACCAAAGACTTCTCCTATTTTGCTAGACATCAAAAGCCTTTTGAAGATCAACTTGGAGGCCATTGACAATCATTGCCCTGGTAAGTCATTGGGCTTGGTGTATCCTACACTAACATTATGTTTAATGCACAGCCTTAACCAATCCAGTTTTCACTCAGATTCACTGTGGATTCGTGATCAAAATAGGATGCTCTTGGCACCAACCCCCATATGATTCCTTGCTGTATGTAGAGTTTCGGGGCTCAATATCTTTCCGACCCACCCACGTCATCTTGCATAGGGCCCCAAATCCTAGTTGTCATGGATTCTCCAACCACGGCAAGAGTTGTTCTCTGGTCTCCAGCTCAAGTTTCAATATCTTCGCGTGTTCCTCATTTACGGTACAGCAAGAGCTTATAAACATAGTGAAATGTTTGAACCATTTCAACGAACTTGCTAAACCCTACAATAGGTTCACTCATAGGACCTTGGAAAACTACCGGCTAGTTGTTGTTCTTTCATGTTCTTTCTTCATTCCAAAACATTCCAAAACCACTAGAAATATCTACAAGCTCTCCTTGGGCTCCCATACGTCAAGCCCTCAAAGAAGAGCTTGCGGCGAGGGAAGACGACCTGCCCAGACAGTCAATGGTAATTTCAGGATCCTAAAATGGAGGTACTGTACCATATAAGGCCATACTTTGTGGGGATATTCCCTTACATAGGCCTTATATAGGCCTTATATATGGTAGGTACCTCCAATTTAGGTTCCTGAAATGGCCATTGAATAAATGCTCGTGAAATATCCCGCACGATCCCCGTGTGTGTTACTTAGCATGTATTAATTGATACTTGTAGATCAAAGATATCACAATCCATATCACAATCAACATTGCAATTTAGTATAATCATCACCAATCATCCCCAATCATAAATATAGAGGTTTTAGGTCCGTGTTGATTTGTGATTAGAAATCCAGGGCAGTTTCATTGCGGCAAAAGGTGGATTGGTTGATGACCAAACTGGTGGCGTTTCAGCGTCTCGCAGGCTCCTCTTGAACAACCCAACAACCCAATATGAGTTATACTGACGACAATGACACTAGTAATTAATAATATCATCAGCATCATGATTATATGATTATTCATCTTTAATCATTGCCACCGATCAATCTATCTATCTATCTATCAAACAAACAATCAAACAATCAATCAATCAATAAATCAATCAATCAATAAATCAATCGATCTAATCTGATTGTCTGTCTATCTGTCTATCAGTCGATCTGTCTATCTGTCTATCAGTCTATCTGTCTATCTGTCTATCTGTCTATCTGTCTATCTGTCTATCTGTCCATCTGTCCATCTATCCATCCATCCATGCATCCATCCATCCATCTATCCATCCATCCATCTTATCTATCTAATCTATCTATCATTATATGTTTTCTATTATATTCTATTATATTAATTACATTATATATATTCTATCTATCTTATCTTATCTTATCTATCTTATCTATCATATATATCATTTCTATCATGTCTGTCATATATACATATATTATATAATTATATATATCATATCGATGATATCTATGACATCTATCATATCTATGATATCTATCATACTTATCATATCTAAAAACATTCACATATATATATATATACAGTGTATAATATACATATAAATGACTTCGTCGCTGCATGCGCCAGCCACCCTCCCCAGCACCTGCCGTGGTAGGCCCACGCCGAAGTTGGCGGATTGCAAGGAGAAGTCGCCCTCGGCCCAGTGGTGGCAGAACCTGGGAGATTCAGTCCAGGTCTGGTTGGGTTTTCTGGAGGATTATTGGATAAGTTACATATTAACTATCCAGAAATACAATTCGCGTTTTAAAATGTTCATGATTATTGGTTTTCTGAAGCAAACATATGGTTAAATCATGTTTTTGTTTGGGGAAAATATTGATTTAATATGGTTAATATTAATATTCATAATCGTATTAATATGTGTTAATGTTAATGTTTGGTTAATCTTGATGTTGATGTTTGGGGAAAAGGTTAATGTTGTACAATATATATATATATATATATATATATGTATTATTGGTGAACATAATGTTGATGCTGATTGAAATAAAGATTGGTATTGATTATGCAACATCTATATTGGTGGTGCATGTTTTCCGTGCTTTACCCTGAAGATCTCAAGATCTTAGCCATATTTTTTCTGGATTTAATCTTTCTGTAAATGTTCTATTCATGTTAAGAATACCCTAAGAATAAATTATTTCAGTTCTGGCGGATCAAACAGTGTTTTGGTTTTATGAAGCAACCCAGTGTCTCGAAGCAAACATGTACCAACAAACCATGGTCTGTATACATGGCTGTGCCTGAAAATTGGCGATGTTTACAGGACAAAAGATGATTGACCCATGGATTTACGGGTACCGAAAAAAAATCACACCAACCCGTATTGATTGGATAAAATCACTTTTGGCTGTTTAAAACCTCCAAGCAATCACCGGAGATCCAGCAGCAATCAAAACTGGACTGTTTCGCCGAAACATCATCGGAGGTATACCCGCATACCCGACTAACATATATATAGCTTTGGACATGCATGGGTTTCACTTGGTTTTTCCATAGCTGCTATTAGCTTTGCTTCCCAAAGGTTCCAGATCCCCAGAAACAAAAAGGCCATGGGTCAAGAGTTGGGAACCTTTTGCGTAAAGCGATTGCTTGGAAGATCGTGAAGCATACAACGTTTGGTATCCAATGTTCACCCATACCCAAATGGATCTTGATAGACTATCTAATCACACTCTCACTGTTGTGATTTTCGACTGAGTGTACTCCAAAATTTGAATTATCTTTCACCCATAAGTAAAAAACACTTGCAAGAGATCTTGCATCCAACAGTCTGATATACTCATGAGCATCATCCCCAAATCTCCTGGGGCGCTTACCAAATGTCCATGTATGGGTAGCCATACATTTTTCCAGGCCTTAGAGGGCTCGCCCGGTGTTTTTTCCACGGTTTTTGTACATGAATCCATGGTGGTTCCCATCTGGTTATGACTGTTACATAGCCATGGTTTTTCGATGGCCCTAATCGAAATAGATGGTTTACCGTTCTTAATAGCATGGTGGATCTTTCCATGGCGAACTGTAACAAATAACCAGAGGGTAATCACTATTATCCCATTATTAACCACTATTAATCAGCAATATGGACTATTATCCACCATGGTTATTACATAATGGACTATATAACGGCACCCCCAAAGTTCAGGATTTCTTGCTGGCACCTCGCTCGCTTGCCCCTGCGAGGTGGCGGCCGCGTGACCGCCCCCGCGTCGTGTCGTCAGCCCCACGTCCAAGGACCTCTGGTGTGCTGCCTCGGCCGGGGGCGGTGACCTGGCCGCTGCCTGCAGGGCGCGCATGGCATCCAGATGTCCGACACGACATTGGCTGGAGCCTTCACTTCTGCTTTGTTCGCAGCTCCTGGCGTCCCGACCTCATCCCTCCTTGGAGTGCTTGCTGCTTTGGACACCCCCACCCATCCCGGCGACCGACGCGGATGAGCACAGGCACCTCCTCCTTGGATTGGCGTTTGCCGGGCGCCGCCAACGGAGAACCCTGGGCAAGGCCTTTGTGGTCGGTTGGGGGTCTAGTGCTGCTCCTCTCTGCCCCTCCGGCTTGTGGGTCAGGCCACTTCCGGTCGTACGTTGGCGTTGCCGTCGGGTTCATTGGATTGCGCGGCGGCCCCCACTGACCTGGCGCCGCCGCTTGCACCGACATTGTGGGTATGCTGGCGTCCGCGTCGGCGAGGCTGCTCATCCTGGGCCAGCCCCTGGCACGCCCATCGGCAGCGAACGAGCCCCAATGGCCATTGATGGAGGCCCTCCTGCCCGTGAGCGCTCTCCCGCCCCGCGCCGGGACAGCCGGGTCCTGTGTCCTGTGCCGAACTGCCCGGCCGGTGCTCCCAGGGCGCGTGGTTGGACTTCCCACGCAGCAATGCGGCCGCATCTGGAAGACCATGCCGCTGGTACACTTGACGGAGAGGTTCCAGCTGCCTACCGGGCCCAGCACCAGCTGGACCTCTGCTCTGTGTGTGGCGGGCTCGTGGCTTCCCGCTTTCATGGGGCTCATCCCCGCTGCCGCCCCGCAGCTCGGCAAACTGCTGCTCCCCCTGCCGTGGCTGGGGCCTTAGCCAGCGGCCCGGACTTGAACACAGTCTTTGCCGAGCGCATCCCTGTGCTTCGCCATGTCCCCAAGGCTGCTCGCTCTGCCTGGGCCCAGTGCCTTGCTCGAGCCCTTGGCCACGTTGCCGCTACCAATACCTTGCAAGCTTGGCGCGACCTCTTCATGCTCCCCAAGGCAGTGCTTCGACCTGCCCCTCGCGGCGGGCACCGGCACCGACTTCAGGCCGCCCAGTTCACCCAGCGACGGTGTGCCCGGTGGCTCTCCGGTGAACGGGAAGAACTCTGGAACGAACCGCTCGGTGTCCAAGCCATTATCATGCCAAATGGTGTTTTCAAATCTTGTTGGTGTTTTCACATTGGTTTATATTCTAAAAAACCTTGTCCCATATACATCATACTTGTGTATACTACATTCCCACCATACTTCATCCTGCCTTGTGATGTCCAACTCTACCTGCCACAAATCATCCCCTCCTGCGCTTACTTTCCCTACCATACTTCATCATATCATCATACTGGGCCTGGTATTTTGTATGTTTTTGAAGGAACATCAAAGCCAGTATTATTTTGTATCTACAAATCATTATTAACACACATACCGTTTATGGATGCATGTTTTGCCAAATTCAATCGTAAAATTCAAAGAAAAACTATGATTGTGGTAGTGGGTCAATGCAACGTGTCTACTCAGGCACCAGGGGGGGAGGGGAGGGGGGCAGGGCATCCCCAAAAAAACACCAAAAACAAACAGAATGGTAATGCAAGAATCCAGGAGCTTCTCAAACCTGTTTCAGTCATGGAAAATTGTCATACTTGACTCATTTAATTTTATGTTTTTATCCTGGAATCCAGGAGTTTCCACACTGTAGTCATATTGTATGTAGTTAAGGTATGACTATTTTCCATGGCTGAAACAGGATCGAAATATTTTCAAATATGAATTTTGCACCCGTGTGCTTGCTCAGCTGAAGGAATTTGGACCTCAGCTGTCAGCTGGAAGGATGCAGTGCATTCAAGTTTTAAGAATCGATTGTGATAAAAATTGCCCTGGTCCATTTGATTAGAGTATTTGTCCTGGAATCCAGTATGTGTGAACATTTGATGATATAGTATAAATGTTTGGATTACCAAAAAAAAGTATGATTAAATTTGGAAGGTTTGAGGCAGTTGGCACGGTTCCCCAAAAAGCAAGGTTAAGGTCAAGTTTTGTCTCAACATCTTTGAGTTCTGGTATGTAATCATAGCTTGCCCCTGTGCTTGCCCATCCCACAGGAGTCTGATCCTCAGCTGTCCAGGGGTGGCTAAGCTAGGAAAAAGACATTTGAATTATTTATTTTAAAAAAAATGTATCCATTCCAAGTCCATTCCATTTCAAGATCAAGTGTGCTGGATTCTGGAACTCCTTTTTTTTTCAGGTTGCAAACTGTCAGATACCTTGTGATGCCCACCTCCACCTGCCACAAATAGGCCCTTCTGTCTTCCTACCCTCACTTTCCCCCATCATACTTCATCATACCTTTTGATGTCCAAACTTTGATGATATAAAGATTGACATGACTCATTTAATTTTCAAGTGTTGGTCCTGAAATCCACGAGCTTTATGAACCTGTTTCAGTCATGGAAAATTATCATACTTGACTCATTTAATTTTATGTTTTTATCCTGGAATCCAGGAGCTTCCACACTGTAGTCATCTTGTATGTAGTTAAGCTATGGCAAGTTTCCATGGCTGAAACAGGTTCGATATATTTTCAAACATGATATTGGCATCATTTTTTTGAAAATATATATTTTTCTCTTCCAGCAGCCTGAACCTGTGCTTGCTCAGCTGAAGGAGTTTGGACCTCAGCCGAAAGCTGGAAGGATGCAGTGCATTCAAATTTGTTCAAGAATCCAGTATGCGTTGACATATGATGATATAGTATATATGTTTGGATTACCACAAAAACCTCAGAGGTATGCTTAAACTTGGAAGGTTTGAGGCTCTTGGCACGGTTCCACAAAAAACATGGTCAAGTTTTATGTTCTTGTATGTAATCATAGCTTGCCCCTGTGCTTGCCCATTCTGCAGGAGTCTGATCCTCAGCTGTCCGGGGTGTGGCTAAGCTAGGAAAAAGACATTTGAAATCTTTATTTTTTAAAAACTGAATCTATTCCAAGTCCATTCCATTTCAAGATCAAGTGTGCTGGATTCTGGAACTCCTTTTTTTTTCAGGTTGCAAACTGTCAGATCCCTTGTGATGCCCACCCCCACCTGCCACAAATAGGCCCTTCTGTCTTCCTACCCTCACTTTCCCCCATCATACTTCATCATACCTTTTGATGTCCAAACTTTGATGATATAAAGATTGACATGACTCATTTAATTTTCAAGTGTTGGTCCTGAAATCCACGAGCTTTATGAACCTGTTTCAGTCATGGAAAATTATCATACTTGACTCATTTAATTTTATGTTTTTATCCTGGAATCCAGGAGCTTCCACACTGTAGTCATCTTGTATGTAGTTAAGGTATGACAAGTTTCCATGGCTGAAACAGGTTCGATATATTTTCGAACATGATATTGGCATCATTTTTTTGAAAATATATATTTTTCTCTTCCAGCAGCCTGAACCTGTGCTTGCTCAGCTGAAGGAGTTTGGACCTCAGCCGAAAGCTGGAAGGATGCAGTGCATTCAAATTTGTTCAAGAATCCAGTATGCGTTGACATATGATGATATAGCATATATGTTAGGATTACCACAAAAACCTCAGAGGTATGCTTAAACTTGGAAGGTTTGAGGCTCTTGGCACGGTTCCACAAAAAACATGGTCAAGTTTTATGTTCTTGTATGTAATCATAGCTTGCCCCTGTGCTTGCCCATCCCACAGGAGTCTGATCCTCAGCTGTCCAGGGGTGGCTAAGCTAGGAAAAAGACATTTGAATTATTTATTTTTTAAAAAATGAATCCATTCCAAGTCCATTCCATTTCAAGATCAAGTGTGCTGGATTCTGGAACTCCTTTTTTTCAGGTTGCAAACTGTCAGGTGCCTTGTGCGCGAATAGGCCCTTCTGTCTTCCTACCCTCACACTTTCCCCCCATCATACTTCATCATACCTTTTGATGTCCAAACTTTGATGATATAAAGATTGACATAACTCATTTAATTTTCAAGTGTTGGTCCTGAAATCGACGAGCTTTCTGAACCTGTTTCAGTCATGGAAAATTATCATACTTGACTCATTTAATTTTATGTTTTTATCCTGGAATCCAGGAGCTTCCACACTGTAGTCATCTTGTATGTAGTTAAGGTATGACAAGTTTCCATGCCTGAAACAGGTTCGATATATTTTCAAACATGATATTGGCATCATTTTTTTGAAAATATATATTTTTCTCTTCCAGCAGCCTGAACCTGTGCTTGCTCAGCTGAAAGAGTTTGGACCTCAGCCGACAATTTGAAGAGCTGACTATGATGCATCAAAAAACAAGCACAGCACAGAGATTTAGATTAATGTCATGTTATGCAAAGTGAACAAATACCAGATAGGACAACCTTGCAGCTTATAGCAGGTTCCACCTCCAGAATCTGCCCAGGGTAATCCAAACAGACCTCATGGCAGTCCCAACCTCAAAGCAATGTCAATTGAGCAAACCTAAAGTGTAACTATGGTTCTCAGATTTTGTTTGCATCAGTAATTGATACAGCAAATTTGTAAGAAATGATGCAGAAAGTCTTTCATTTTACTGGTGTCTTTACAGCTGTGATGGCACCACATACATACATACATACATACATACATACATACATACATACATACATACATACATACATACATACATTACATTACATTACATCACATCACATCACATCACATCACGTCGCATTACATTACATTACATAACAAAACATAACATTACATACATACATACATCCATGCATACATACGTACGTACGTACGTACGTACATACATACAAACATACATGCATACATACATACATACATACATACATACATTACATACATTACATACATTACATGCATTACATACATTACATACATACATACATACATACATACATACATACATACATACATACATACATACATACATACTTACATTACATTACATTACATTACATTACATTACAGTACAGTACATTACATTACATTACATTACATACATATGAGCACAAACATATATACATACATATGTATACATACATACGTGCACATGCGTACATATCCATAACTATAGTCCACCATATATGCGTACTTACCAGGACTTATGTCCTTGGATTTTATGTATACTTACCAGGACTTATGTCCTTGGAACTTATGTATATGTACCAGGACGTATGTCCTTGGAATTTACATATACTTACCAGGACTTATGTCCTTGGAATTTATGTATGTATATACCAGGACGTATGTCCTTGGAATGTACGTATACTTACCAGGACTTATGTCCTTGGAATTTATGTATATATATACCAGGACTTCTGTCCTTGGAATTTATGTAGATATACCAGGACTTCTGTCCTTGGAATTTATGTATACTTACCAGGACTTATGTCCTTGGAATTTAAGTATGTATATACCAGGACGTATGTCCTTGGAATGTATGCATACTTACCAGGACTTATGTCCTTGGAATTTATGTATACTTACCAGGACTTCTGTCCTTGGAATTTATGTATATGTACCAGGACGTATGTCCTTGGAATGTATGTATACTTACCATGACGTATGTCCTTGGAATTTATGTATACTTACCAGGACTTATGTCCTTGGAATTTATGTATATATACCAGGACTTATGTCCTTGGAATTTATGTATGTATATACCAGGACGTATGTCCTTGGAATGTATGTATACTTACCAGGACTTATGTCCTGGGAATTTATGTATATATACCAGGACTTCTGTCCTTGGAATTTTTGTATACTTACCAGGACTTATGTCCTTGGAATTTATGTATGTATATACCATGACGTATGTCCTTGGAATGTATGTATACTTGCCAGGACTTATGTCCTGGGAATTTATGTATATATACCAGGACTTCTGTCCTTGGAATTTTTGTATACTTACCAGGACTTATGTCCTTGGAATTTATGTATACTTACCAGGGCTTATGTCCTTGGAATTTATGTATACTTACCAGGACGTATGTCCTTGGAATTTATGTATACTTACCAGGACTTCTGTCCTTGGAATTTATGTATACTTACCAGGACTTCTGTCCTTGGAATTTATGTGTATATATATATATAGACATATATATTTATATATAGACATTTACGTATATAATACATATATATATATATACACTTATACATGAATTAATATTAAGATTCCTATACATGGCAGCACGTACACATGTACACACTAAGGACCACTAAGGACCACTAAGGAACCACTCAGGAATCTGCACGCAACAAAAAACAGTAACTAGTCTGCCGAACAGGCAGTGTCTCGAACAGAGACATTTTTTTTCCCAAGCTGATTCGCAACATTGTCACAATCTCAGTACAGGACCGCAGCTACTACCTCACTAGCCTCAGTACATGTGTGTTTTTTGTTACATTTGGGTCTTGTTGTCATGATAGTTTTATGTTCTTCCTGTCAATCATTGTCATTCATGGTTACCAGGACAACTATGTTTTGTTGTTGTTGTTGTCATTACTGCAGTAGTAAAAGATGAAGAAGAAGAAGTAGTAGTAGTAGTAGTAGTCGTGGTGGTGCTGGTGGTGGTAGTTTTATGGTTGAAATTTTGAAAGAATGTGGCATTTCTTGAGGAAGTTGTGGCATGCCTCTATGCAACATTCTTCTATAGAGGGAGCAACATTCCTTTGAGAAAGTGTAAAGCAAGACCCTGAGATGTGCATAGCATTCCTTTAGAACAAGTGCGTTCTGTCTTCCATATATTTTAATGAACATATGTAATTCCTTCCACAGAGGCAGTAGTCCTTTTAGAGAAGGGTAGCATTTCCTTAGATAAAATATGCATATACATTAGTGTTTTTCAGAAAAGCGGCATGCCTTTCAGACAGGACTTGACGGTTTCATGAAAATATTATTCATTCGGAAAATACAATATAATTTTCAAATAACATAATTCACTGTATGATATTATTAACTATACATATATATATATACAGTTACACACAATATTCCTTTCAAAAGTATGCAGCATCTCTTTGAGAAGTAGCCTTCCAGACACACAGCAGTCCTAGTGAAAGACTATGGCTGAGTATGGAAGGAGAGACCGGCAGCAATGGAGAAAACATTTTCAAGGTAAAACCACCCCTATAGACAGGCGGTACAATAAGCAAAACCACCAAAAAAACACAAACACCGAAAAAAACAAAAAAACAACAAAAAACAAAAAACAAAAAAGATCCAGCAACTATGAGCCCCCCAACCTTTCTCTGGAATCTTTGTTTTTTTTTGTTTTTTTCTGTTTTCAGTTATGGAGTCTAATTTTGTGTAGGGAATTTTGTTCTTGGGGTGTGCCTGTGGGAGATGCAATGTTGAAGTGACAAGTGCAGCCATATTTTTTTCTGGATGGGTAGATTCATGAGCAAACTGACAGGATCCAGGTCATTTTTATCAATGTTTAAAGTGTCAAGTCCGGTCAAAACGAAACATCTATTTAAAATATATTTAAATCCTATCAGAATGAAGAACATCCTAAAATTGGTGTGTTAATTTTTGTTATGGTTTGTTCATAAGGTCCATATGAGGTCCAAGTATGTTCCATTTCCATCCAGGCATTTCCATCCAGGTAAGGGTTGTTTTACATGTAGGCCAAAAACGGATGGGCAATAATGGGTGATGAAAATGTTAATGATGAC